AGGACGGGTCTGAGAAAGATCTCACAAATAATAATATTGATCAGTTGCATCTGTTTGATCACGTCCTATTTTCTGCTTCTGGTTCACTTCCTAAGAATGAAGTCAATGCCATCAAGTGGGATCCCACAGGCAGTTTACTGGCCTCCTGCTCCGATGACATGACCCTCAAGGTCAGACCACACAAAGTGTTAAATCTGCCTTTAAACGGTAAAAGGATTGTATCAAACAGGAACGTGCTGCACACTCATTTTTTCCTTTTTTTCTTTCTGTCATCTCCTCATTTCTGGGACAGATCTGGAGTATAAAACAGGACAACTGTGTTCATGACCTTCAGGCTCACAATAAGGAAATCTACACAATCAAGTGGAGCCCAACCGGCCCGGGGACCAACAACCCAAATGCCAACCTCATGTTGGCCAGGTAAGATTAACAGAGGTAGGATAGCAGAACGGTTCTGAATCTGAGTCTGTAATGTGCTTTTCTGTCTCTCTCTCTGTCTTTCTTCCTCTCTCTCTCTCCAGTGCATCATTTGACTCAACAGTACGTCTATGGGACGTCGAACGCGGGGTGTGTATTCACACACTGACCCGCCACCAGGAGCCCGTCTACAGCGTGGCCTTCAGCCCAGACGGCCGCCACCTCGCCAGTGGTTCTTTTGACAAATGCGTCCACATCTGGAACACTCAGGTCTATAACAAGAACCAATAACCCCCCCCCTCCAAACCCAAATGACACCCACTCACCCACTCCTCCGGTTGCTAACATGTCCGTGTGTCTCCAGACAGGTGCTTTAGTTAACAGCTACAGGGGGACGGGTGGGATTTTCGAGGTGTGCTGGAACGCCACAGGGGACAAAGTAGGAGCCAGTGCGTCTGACGGATCGGTGAGTTGTGCCGCCGCCTCGACATCACTTTGCAATTAAAATGATCTTTTTACAACACTCAGACAGTCATAGACATCACCAGAAGATCTTCTAAATTTTGCATGTGGTGAAAACAGCGTCAATACATTATTAGATCTGAACTACCAATAGGGTTTTTTTTTTCTATCAAGACCTTAGTGTTCATTTCCCAGCTCCAGATCTCTTACAAGACAATCTGGGTCTCCTCCAGCAGGATAAACTGAATATGCTTCACTGTTATCAGCAAGCCAACATTGATGCAAAATTGTAGTCTATATTTGCGTCTCTTACCATTCCGCTTTGCATTTGGTCTGACATTTGCGTTTGGCCGTCCACCAGGCGACTGATGTAAATGGTCACTTCTGTGTATTGTAGTGGATGTTCTCCGTCATCAAATCAAAAACAGGAATGTCGAGGTGGAGTTCTGCGTTCAAACGGGGTTTTTATTACAGGGCAATCAGGGCTGTGGTGGCTTAGTGGTTAAGGAAGCGGACTTGTTCGGTCAGGTTCGAGTCCACCATCTGCCAAGTTACCACTGAGGTGCTCTGAACATGGCACCGTCCCCACACACACTGCTGCCCACTGTTCACTTTGGTGATGGGTTAAAAGCAGAGGTCACATTTGGTTGTGTGCTTAAAAAAAAAAAGCAAAAGCATAAAAATGAACGCAGTAATATTTCTACAGTATCCATTTTATATAGTACTACATTAGGCTGTGAGGGTCTGGTCCGGTTTACTATATCTGTTGTTAAAAAAAACCCTAATTTTCAGTGTGACGGCCTGCATTGCACTACTACTAAATCAACACTAGATGGAGTCAGTATCTCCTATCATCCGTAAGGCTGTAATGGCCAGAATTAAATCAATTATTGACAATTAATGGCAGTTATTTAAATCTTTTGAATCCCCATAATAAAAATACCTCTGTTTTTAGGCCTGTTTTGTGCAACATTTGGTTTTTTTATTTTGCGTTTGAAAAGTACGATATTTGTATATTGGAAGTTCACTGTGTAACCAAACGCTAGTACTGTCTTTTGTTCAATGACATTGAGACGCAGTGGGACAGGGCTGATATTGCTAGTGTTTTAGTTAGTTGAGTCGTGTAATGCTGCACTGGCGCTGCTTCAAAACCCTGTCACACACCAGGATGGAAGAGGGAAGTCATTAGAGCGCTAACACAAATATTTACCTCTCTGAAGCGTAGTGTTGGACAAATGAATGTCTCACACACACACACACAAATATTTAGGTAGGCTTTTTTTTTTTTAAAAAAAAAGGTCATATGACCTTGCTGATGTGTGTACAAGTGCACATCCTCTTCTTTTATACAGGCCCATCTCCATTTATGCTTGCTTCTTTTATACAGGCCCATCTCCATTTTCCTGAATGCGTTATTTTTTTACAAATTATTCTTCAAGTTCATTTTATTTAGTTAAATCATTTTACTGTTGATTGTTAAATTTTTTTTAAAATAGTTAAATCATTTTACTGTTGATTGTTTTGTGTGCCGTTAAACGTACTAATATTCAATCTGCCTAACATCCTCAACTGGGAGGAAGTGGGACTTCCTCGTCCTGCCGGTAGGTGCAATGAATACGTTTTTGTGCGTTGCGTCAACCTCTGCTCTTGCCCTGTCGCCGCAGGTTTGTGTTTTAGACCTGAGGAAATGACCCCTCGCCAGCGTTAGCCATGGACCGACTGCGAATGTGTAAATAGCCAAATGACTGTCCCTGCCTGTCGGGCACACTGCTGTAGACCCATCAGATGCAGAGGCCCACGGTCACCGCCCTCCCTCTCATCTTTCATCTTCTACGTGTGCAAACAAGAACCACACCTTTGACACACCATCTTCTTGTGCACATGTATCTCAAAGGTTTGTTTAAACATTTGCATCTCTCCCCCAGGACTGCCGGACAAATCATGTTTTTACAACTGCAGTCAAACCAAGGACCCTAAGTGTTTTTATCCTAACTCTTTTTTTTTTCTTTTTCTTTTTTGGTTTGTTTGTTGGTGGTGTGCAAATTGCACATGTCAACACTTGGTGTCCTGTGGACAGCTTTGTGTTATATTCCAATTTGGACTCTAGTTTTTGTATTATGTGTGGCCCCGGGAGAGATGACGCAGTCATTTTATTAACAGGTGTCCTTGGACAAATTCATCTTCCTTGTGTTTGACAGCTTTTTAGGCTTCCAAAATGCAAATGCTAGAATCACGACCTTGTTGATCATTTTGTCCGCCGATTTCACGACAAGATTTTAGCTTTTTTTTTTTTTTTTTTTTAAACAAACTCTAAAGCTATCCATCATCGTGAACCTTGCTTTGCTGTTGCAACTTCTATCCTCAGTAACAACTTTCAGGTGTAAATTCATCAGGTTTTAAATAAAAAAAAAGGTAATGTTTCTGTAGCTCTAATGTCCTTCTCGTGCTAACGTGTATAAAGTGGGGCTGGTACTGAGCCTCTGCACCAGCTGTGCACTAGTGTCAACAGTGAGCTGACGTGACACAGTAGGGAACAAAACCCACAGTTGCTTGAGTCCAATAAATAACGGTCGCCATTCTGTCTGTTATGATAATCATATTAATCCGACTAACGACAAGTCTAATCAAGTCTAATTTCTACTGCTCGTTCATTTACCGCAGTGATTACTAATCCAGTTTGGTCTCATGGATGTGACGATGTCATGGTTTAGGTCGTCCTGTTCATCAGCCCTCTCCACCTCTGCAAGTTAGCTCAAAGCTGGACTTTAGTATTTAATCTGTATTTTAAATATCACTTCCAACATAGTTGAACTGAGAGTGTACTAAAATCCTGTTAGAGCACTCCCATAAACTGGATCATTTTCAGCTTGTCCACTTGTGGTCCGCTAGGGATTTAGCACAGTTTGAACACCAGATACACTTCCTGGGGTTGGGGACTAAGAGAATTCATACATTACATACACCAATCAATTCAATGATTGGCCCATTTGACCTGCCACAGGCTGGCTGTTGTTACTGCTGTGCTCCAGCAGAGGGCGTTCAAAGCTTAACCCAGACTTGATGTTTTGCTGTTAGCAAACAAAGGTGTCTAAAACGTGGAGTATAATCAGGTTAAACGGTTCAGCGGCGGAACCCAAAATATGCTGCTTTTCTAAAATGGTGTTCTTTTAATTTCTTCATGCCGTGCCGCTCTCAAGTTCGCCGCTGCTTCAGCTGGGATGAGTACAAGCTAGTGTTGTTGCTTTCGCTCTTGACAGATAACTCGATGTTTTTTTTTTTTCCCCTGGGCAGAGAAATATGACACCAAAGCTACTGAAAGGCAGGATATTCCAGGTTTAACAATTTGTATCCGCAGATTAGGAGAAACAGAATTAGACCAGTTTTTCATCGCACTAATGCTAACTGACTGTGTACGTGTTTGCTCACTAACCTTTGAAATAAAAAAAAAAAACATTTTATTTTGCCGTCAGCAAGTAAGCCAAACAGATAAACATGACACCAAAATATTTGAGAGGTGGCATATTTTGGGTTTATAACAACCTGAATCGGACCATTTGGCCACTTGGCGAGCTATTAATGCTGCTGTGGCTGCGACGTTAGCTGTCAACAAAAAGTGTGAAAGCAGGAGGAACGTTAGCTGTCAACAAAAAGTGTGAAAATCAATTTCTGTGGAAATTAAATTGACAGGTCTGGTTAAGAAGATTCTGTGTCCGGGGGAGGACGGGACACAAAACCTTTTTTTTTTCCTTGTCATTTGTTACCAGTTGCCAGGTCACAGTTGTTGCCCAGCATTTACTCAGTCACACACACCCTGGAGACTGGCCACCCTCAAGCCAATGGATAGATAGAGCTCGGTATATAGCAGTAAATCTAAATCTAAATGTACAAATGTATATCTGTGCTATCGAAGAAAAACCTTTTTTAAAAACTCTAAGTACTCTAAGTGCAGACCGAGAGATTTTTCTTCCGTAAAACTTTGTACGAGTCACGAGACAGAGAAAACCAGGATGATAGTTTGTTTTGGTTTTTTTTTTTGAAGTCAGTTCGTAGATTGCTCCCAAATCAGGAGTCAAAGCGGAGTGAGTGTGGCGGTCCATTGGAACAGAACGGTGGTTTCTGATGGACATGAGTCAACTGCGCGGCATCCCTGCTCACATGTCACGGCTATACATATCATCGGACTCTCAGATCCAAATGTGTCTCTGGTTTTCTTACAAATGTTACTGCTTCACGTTGTGCTGAGGCTTGAAGACTATTTGCTTTGATATAGTCATGCAAAACAAAGAAACCATTTAAAGGATGTCCCCGACGCCAGTGTATCCCGATGGTTAGTTTGAGAGCTTTTTACGCAGCATTCCAGCGAGTTTGCTTTTTATTTTTCATACCCCGGGGAAGTGCTAACTGTCAGCTTTATCTTTGCTACATTACGGAAGCTCTCGAAGGTTGATTTTTTTTTTTTTTTTTTTGTACTTTTCTAATTATGATTTTATTCATAGCTGTCTAATAATGAGGAAAAAAAAATCTGTTCAAATTTGGAATAAATTGTTTGACGTCAAACGCGGAACATGTGAATACCAATTTGTAGATTTCTGTCTTCTATCTTTGCCCTCATCTATGTTGTACTCACGTGGTTGCGCTCTGCAGCCTCCTGGTCTGACTGTTGTTATATCGCTCAGATCACAGGGTCTAGAATAAAATCTATTTTGATAAAGTTGTTGTGTTTGCTTGTGCCTGGAACTTAAAGTGTTAAAAAAAAAAACACCAGGAAAAACTCCACTTGTACTTGTACTAACTTTTTTTGCCAAAGCGTTGTCCTTAGGTTGCAGGGAGAAGCGTATTCACCAAAGAACAAGTAAGTCAATTTGTAAAACTGAAGTACATTTTTCCCCACACTGCGGCCCGATACCAGTCCCCGAACCGGGGGTTGGAGGCCCCAGAAATACACTCCTTTCTCACCGGTACATTTGTACCTACCAGTTTGAACTCTGTCTAACTGTACCTCTTACTTCCTCAGTTGCTCCACTGACCGTCTCCATAACTTCATGCACACCTTGTGCTTTGTGAAACCAGCCAACTGGTGTTGACCCAAGCGCTCAAGTCTACAGGTAAACACATGAATCATTTAAAAACCTTTAAAACCAGTCTAACACGTTTGGGAAAACTACACTAAACGTAAGCCCTGATAATCGAGGACATTTTTGTTCCGCCTGCGCACCCAGCCTTCTGAACCGATAAAGTCGATGAACACACGGCACTCCCAGTCGTGCTCAAAAGAAACGCATTGTGAACACACTGTACCCCTAGGGCGGCTCGATTGTTATCTGTCCCTTTTTGCAGCCGCTCCTGTCTGTGTTTTCATTTTAGGAACAGGAATGTGCTAGCATTTTCTCAAAGCATATGTTTTTTGTGACAATAGTCATAGTCAAAAATACTGTAAAGTAGTATTGAATTTGATGATTTTCCAGCTTTTTGTGTTGTGGCCAAGGAATTTAACATAGTATCAAATATATTGCAATATATGGGGCAAAGTTGATCATATACTCTGATCTGGTTTATTATTCTCCTGTAGAGAACAGGTGCTTGATTTTCCTTCAAAAATACATTTCAAAATGTGGGATTTATCAACTGTCACACATTTACTCTTTTCTCCTTCCGTCCTGATATTATTATTATGTTCCTGTTTTCTTGTTTCTCTTTGGTTTCTCTTCCATTCACTGACCTATTTTAAGCTTGACAGAGCTTCGGCTGAAGAAGAATTTGACTCCCAAATCCCCGAGAATGGAGAGATGCAAGCATATGCTAATATAACGAAATGAACAGGGAAGCTAAAATATGAAGCAACGAGAAGTTCAAAGGCGTGTTGCATGTTTGTAGAATGTCCGTCCATGTGAACTGCTGTGTTCGCTGTTTTCCGCATCTCTAATCTGCATCTTTTGGAGATAAAAGTCCTCCAATGTTTGAAGCCTCGATACATTTATAACCAAATATACCCAATTTTTTTTTTTCAGGTCTTCTGTGGTCAGCTCGGTCAATTATAATGGAAATTGGATAACATGGGAAATAAGGTCAAAGGTTGCAAGAGAAAAAGCCTAACTGTTAGCTACTTTTTGGATTATCTTTTTCTAAAAAAAAAAAAATAACACAAAAAAACATTCCTTATCTATTCAATTTAATCACTTTGTACCTTTTGTCACAATTTGTTTTAAAATTAATTTTGTGTTATCCAATAATTCGCTTAACGATCATTGTTAGTTGCCCATTGTTTTTGGGGGATTTTATTTTACAGAATAATTAAAAAAAAAATTAAAAAAAGCTAGTTACCACAGAACAAAGCTACGACACTACTAACACTATAATCTTCAAAGTATCAAAGGAACGGGAGTTTGAGCAATTAGCTGTGGCTACAGGTTTTGAGTCCAACCTACCCAGAACTCACCGATTGACCTGATCAGCTATTTTAACGGTTCAACCACTTTGGTAAATGTTATCAGGAAAACAAAAAACCAAATAACAGTAACAGGAAACACCATCAACACATCATGAGCCCCGCCCGCATAGCCCCATCCAGGACAGACCTACTGTCATTCTGACGTCACGCTGCAGCAGCGTATTTGATGTGTGAACTCAACTCTCTTTCTGCCTTGTGTGTTTCCAGCGCACCTGTTCGCTGTCGAGCACAGAGCCCTCCCACACTGAGAGAGAAGAGGAGAGAGAGGAGGAGAGAGAGGAGGAGAGAAAGAGGAACTTGGCCAACACAGACTTGTCCCGTCAAACACTTTAACAACAAGGTACGTTCACAGACGGTAGAAAAACACACCATCTTCAGACACCTGACCAGGTATTGTAACACACACACACACAGAGACACACACAGAGACAAGTCCATGTAGACGATGTGAGCAGCGTTTCTCCTCCCGTGTCCTGTTGCCGGCGCAGAGTGAAGTGAAAGTGAGAATCCTGCTGCCTCAGTGACAGATTCACACAGAGCCTCTTTAATTTACCGGTAAGTGCTGCTGTGACCTTTGACCTGTGGTGTATTCATTCCCTCCTGTTTACTTCTATTTATAAAAAAAAAAAAAAAAAAAAGTCCATGTGCATCGGCATGCTCCTGGTTTTAGATTGGGGTGAGGGGCGTAGAACTTTGCGTCCTCGGAGGAATACGACGCAACGTGAGCGCGGGAAATCTCTCTGTAGTAACTGATGGAAACGGAGCAGTTATTTGTTACATACCTAGCTATTAACGGGCTAATGTGCACTGCAGCTGTTGCCTCAGATGCACAGCTGCCCAAGTGATCGGTGGTAGGGAATTCAAGGCGGCCTGTATTTGCCCCCTCAGTTGTCACGATGTGTCACCCTGCTATTGTGGAATTTATATTTTATTCACCCGTAACATAGTTACCTATAAATAACAACAAGTCCGTGCTTTTCTTTTTCTGTCTTCATGCCGATAAGTACAAGGACTTAATGAAATATAATTTGACTAAATATAACCAACATGAAGTGTTTGTGCAGTTTTTGTTTAACTTTCGAAATTCATGAAGCGTATGTTTGACACCCCCTGGTGCAAGGATCATGTGTCATTATCAGACAGGGACAATGGGAACGTAACAGGTTATTAAAAGTGCAGCATCTCTCATCGACCGTGCGCAGTCCATGTCCCACTCTGTGGACCCCCGCCGTGGCTCTGTGACATTGTTCACCCAGGCCTGGACGGAAGCAGAGCTTTCTGGTTCTGCATTGTTTTGTAAAGCTGTTGTGATACTGTTCATTGTGACACATTGTTTTGGTTTTGTTTTTTCTGTGACTCTCAGCGATTCCCGGGAGTCCTGTGATCTAAATCCCTCTATGATAGTTGAGGTCGATAAAATGTGCTGTGTCGACTTTCACATTCACTCACTATCTCCGTACTACCCCCCTGCCCCACAACTTCCCCAAACTAAGCTTTTTTCTTGACACACACACAGGAAAGCACTGAGACACGACACATTGTTCCTGTTTGCGGTGCCTTCACGAGCCCACAGGAAATGTGTAATTCAGGGGATGTCATACTGCTACATTTCCCATTGTAGAAATGGGGTGAAGGAGACGTGGAGTGTGTTCACCTCGCACTACACACTCCACCTGTTTCACCAGAAATATTTCACTACTTTATTCTCAGGCTCCTCAAAAAAAAAAAAAAAAAAAAGAAGGAACGTCAATATGTTCTAAGCTCATTTTTATCATTTCAAACTCCCTACGGCGTGGGCAAACTTTTTGACTAAAATTCTAAAATGCTTTTATCATTTTCTACGCCATCTATTGGAGAAACGTGTGTATTGCAGAGAAAAAGACAGAAGTATAAAGCTAATATAAATAAATGATATCATTTGGTAAAGTTTGGCGGGCCGGATTAAAAAGCTGAACGGGCCGCATCCGGCTCCCCGGGCCTCAGTTTGCCCATGCCTGACCTAACCTGTCCGGTGACACGATTCAGATCTTGTCGATAAAGAATTTGAAAATTCTTTTCAGACTCAATGTAAGTTGTTCTCAGTTTCAGGAATCGTCCTCGTGGGTTCATGAGACGCCGCCGACCACGACCCAGCCATTTCCATCATCTGCTGCTAAAGATGATGAAAGCCTAGGATGGACGACCCCCCAACTGACAATCTCTTTCTCTACCTCCACCCACACTAACTCGACCGGCTGACAACCTCACCAGGATGTATCTCAGGTTACGACGAATACGAAAGTACCACTTCATGCAGCTGATGACGACCTGCCTGGTGCTGTCGGTGGTCATGCTCTACTGGGAGAAGCTGAACTCCACGGTCGTCACCCACGTCAAGTCCTACTCCTATCGCTACTTCATCAACAGCTTCATCTACATCAACAAGAGTTTTACCATCTCGCCCGAAGAGGCACGGAGCTTCAGCAACTACCCCTTCCTCCTGGACCACCCCGACAAGTGCGCCGGGAAAGACGTCCTGCTGCTGCTTTTGGTCAAATCCTCTCCGGACAACGTGGAGAGGAGGAGTGCCATTCGATCGACTTGGGGTAACGAGACCTACATCCAGAACACCCTGGGAGTAACCGTGAAGGTACTTTTTGCCCTCGGCACCACGGGGGAGGAGGCTACGTGGACCAGCAGAAGCGGGCAGGTGCTTCAGGCGCAGCTGGTCCACGAGGACCAGGTCCACGGTGATTTGATCCAGCAGGACTTCCTGGACACGTTCCACAACTTGACTTTGAAGCTGATCATGCAGTTCCACTGGATGCACAACCGCTGCGCCCACGCCCGTTTCCTCATGACGGCGGACGACGACATCTTCGTCCACATGCCCAACCTGGTGGCTTACCTGCGGGACATGAGCAGCGGCGGCGTCACGCAGCTCTGGATCGGGAAAGTGCACAGAGGGGCGCCTCCCGTTCGCAGCAAGAGCAGCAAATACTACATGTCTTACGAGATGTACCCGTGGATGTCGTACCCGGACTACACGTCGGGCGGCGGGTACGTGGTCTCCACCGACGTCGCGGACAAAATCTATCACGCCACGCTGAATCTGAACGCCTCTCTTTACATCGACGACGTGTTCATGGGGATCTGCGCCAGCATTGTAGGCGTGACCCCGAAAGAGCACGTGTTTTTTTCCGGGGAGGGCAAAGCGCCTTACCACATGTGCATCTATAACCAGATGATGACCTCACATGGTCACGTAGAGGACATTCACAACATGTGGAAGGCAGCGACAGACCCAGAAATCAAGGAGTGGACCACGGGACTCTTTGGCAAGTTCTACTGCCAAGTGGTAAAAATAGCTCTTCTTTGTAAGACGTACGTCACCGCCTACCCCTGCAAAGCAGCCTTTCTGTAGGGATAGTTAAAGTTGACCTGTCTGTCTGTCTGTCTGTGTGTGTGTGTGTGCACGCGCGTGTGTGTGGGTGTGCAGGGATTTTCGAGCGAAGTTGATTTCAAGAAGAACTCTGTTTTCAACACCACTTTTTCTTCCAAATCACCAAACAGTAGTGAGAGTAAAAAAATCCAGACCGATTTCCCACAAATTACTACAAGTCTAATGCAACATGAACGGCTGCCCTCTAGAGCACGGGTCGGGAACCTTTTTTAAAGCAGAGAGAGCCACATATTTTAGAATGTATTTCCGTGAGAGCCGTATAATATTTTTTTCGTTTAATAAGTCTCTGAAGTATTAAAAAAAAGTTATTAGTTATTATCCGAGGCATAAAATACTTCTTAGCGTTATTGCGACGGTTTTCACACGATCGACTCCAGCACAAAAAATGAATGTACGGATTGATACGGTTCCACTCGCCGTACATACGTTTTTTATTTTATCATTAATGTACTTTTATTTATTTGATTTTTTTTCCAGCGCGAGACGTGTGTGTGTGTGTGTGTTGCTACAAAATGGACTGACTTTTCGTGCTCCAAATAAACCGGTGACGTACCGAGCTCTGATGATTGTACCGCAACGCAAAGAGGCTACGCTTCTGCTTTTTTTTAAAGATGATTTTAACGCTGTGATTTCTGTAATGTTTTACTTGAGTATCAGCGGAATTATTTATTACTTATTGTGTTAAGAAATGCTAAGCTAAGAATTATCTTGAGACCCAGACGCAGTCATCAAAAGAACCACATCTGGCTTGCGAGCCACAGGTTCCTAACCCCTGCTGTAGAGACACCGGTGAGTTTAATGTGTCAGCGGCAGCAAATCCATACAAACTCATGAACCCACTTCCTGTCTCTGTTCTAACAATACAGATTAACATGGTTACCTAGGTTAACTTCCTGTTTTTTTTTTTTCGTACTAGCAACACCACATGAATGGTCTGTGTGTTGAAAACGACGAGACTTCTTCTTTAGTCGACGCCACGTTGGTAGACCGCAGTGCGTGATCTCGGAGGCAGATCTTAGGTTGGTCACATGGTTCTGTCCTAGGTACTGTATCACAGTGAGAGTTTACAACAAACCAGTGACCTCTTGTGTCGGAAGCACAATGTACTGACTTCTAATATTAGTATATGAACAACTTTGACCTGGATGAACGAGAAACGAGTCAAAGCTCCATTTTAGGAATTACCAATGTGAAGATTCACCTGTCAGATGACCTGTGACCTTGTTTTATGAAAGCGATTTAAACATTTTGAAACGAATGACGGGAGGCATGTTTACGAGGTGTCACGACGTCAGGTTGAGGGCCAGAGGCCACGATGATGATCAGACCTGACATGTAGAGTGACTAAACTAATGACTGAAAATACATGTGAATCACAACACTTCCTGTGCAGCTGCGGCAGAGCGTCACGTAGGCGCAGAGCTGTGAAGATTAGAGTGACATTTGATAGCTCGGGAATTTTTTTTTTTTAAACTATATTTAATTGTACACACACACACCGTTGTGGCTGGAATGTTTGCCTTTTTTTTTGCCAAGAAACGAGCGGAGAAAAAGCATGAATGAAATGACGATGTATTTGAAGACATCAGAAACAAAAACCCACTAGAGTGTACAATCTATTCACCGTGAGCTAACGGCAGATAATCAACTCCCAGTAGGAGTCGGAACATTTAAAAAAATGCTGTGAAATAGATCATGTTTTTTTTTTTTTTGGTGACGGAGAGGCACAATGCTCCTCCTAGTGGCCTAGAAAACCTTTCATTCTCCTGTCCCACCCTTTCTGTGGAGAGGTTTTCCAGGTACTCTCTCTCTCTCTCTCTCTCTGTGTGTGTGTGTGTGTGTGTCTCTCTCTTTTTTTTAATCCTGTTACATTTCCAGCAGAGGGAAGAGATCAAAACAACCTCAGCTGTTGCACTGACGACTGACGCGTGAGTCTGACCCTGGGCCTCAGTGGAGTCAGTTACGGTTTTAGCTGTTCTTTAACTGCAATTATTTTTAAGAGTTTTTATGCATTTTTAGACATTTTGCGCCTAAGTCAAGTCAGTTGTGGCCGTTGATTTGTGCCCTGGATATTTTCTTTTTTTTGTAAATCAATGTTCTCTCTAGATTTTGTCCGAGTAGGATAACTTAATTTGTGCCATTCAAAGATTGGACATGTCTGCTGCACAGCTCAGAACAGAACTGAAAGATGAAAAAAAAAAAAAGCACTGTTGTTTCTGCTGTCATCCTTCAAACCACTGATGTTTGATCACTGATGGAACTTTTTGAAAAGAGACAGAGAGAGAGACTTCATAATCCCCTTTGTGTTATAATACAAATGTGCCTTTTAGGAATGTCAATTAATAAAAATAGTCAAAAGTTTTAAAAAAATAGAAACTTTGGTTTTAACGTGTGAAAAAATATTATTTTCATGCACTTTTAGAAGGCAACACAATATCAGAATATATATTTCTAATAATATTATGGAATACGTCATGACAAATACATTAAACCAAATTGCAAAATATCAATAATCATGATTATTTTGACTTTAATTGTCATCTGAAATGTTTATATTTTTCTAACTGTCTAATTCATGGTTGCAAATGTAGGTCTTATAAGACTATACTTTTCATTTAAATAGTGTAAAGAGGTTTTGGAGCAGGCACGGCCAACCCGTGGCTTGGGAGCCACATGCGGCTCCTTGCCCGGGTTTCGTGCGGCTCTTACGTTCATGTCGACTTTCATGTTGGTGTTTTTTTACGCGATGTGAATCTCGTGCCGATGGGCGTTGACGCAAATGACTTAGGGAGAACACAATTTGCACAGATGAAAAGATAAAAAAAAAGGAAGTTGCAACAGAGCGGGAGAGTTTTATTTTATTTTTATTTAAAGGGCTGGGTCAGTTCACATGTGCCCATGTATATCTTGTGGTTCTTTGCAGTAACACAATGACAATTGTGGCTCCTATTGACTGGTTGGCCACCCCTGATTTAAAGAATAGGGTCTCAACACTTTCTGACTGCGCGGCGTTAATGTTAAAACATTTGACAGACATGAACCAACATATAAACCACTCGGACACCTGTTTTTGCTGTTGCTGTTCGTTGGAAACGCATTTCCAGTTACATGTTCATCATAGTAGTTTGGGCCTCAGAGGAATGTGGAACTCAGTCATCATTTCTAACACCCCATTCTGCTGTGGTTTCCTGTCTAACAAACATGAAGTGTAATAAGCCTTCACAGGGAAACAGGTGTTGGTCTGAAGTTGTTTTTCTACTCTTAATAAAGCAAAGGTTTTAGACCTTTTTTTCTTTGCTTGTGGCCTTAAAATATCCGGCAACGCCTTACACATTTTTCTTTTCTAGAATAAGTTGTTGATCGTGTTTGTTCTATAGAGCCAAATTAGCGCACAAAGTGATAAATTGATACATTTATGTGCTGCATTTTATTTGAAATTATACAGTTATTAGTAAGATTGTATTTTGTGTATTTACATCTTTAAAAAGAATAGTAATCAGTAAAACATTTATTTTATTATTTTTCACAAGACAACATATAACAGCTAATTAAAGGTCAATTTTTCAAAATTGGAAACATATATATAAAAAACCTCATATGTAACTTATTGAAATATCTGAATTATTTTTAGGCTTTCTCCTTAACTGATGCAATTATAAATTAAAGTCGTAATACAGTATATCATTGTTACTGTAGAAATGATAGAACGTGTGGTTATGTCGGAAGATGTCCACTGTGTGGCAGCAAAGGCTCAATTGACGTTGAGTTCATCCTACGTTCCTCAATTCATACCAATTATATATTTTTTTAGGAGGATAATTCGAATTCTAATGTTAAAAGCTTAGAGTCCATCGACACTAAACTGTTCTGTTGGGTTGTACAGATGAAATAGACCTGACTTGTTGTGGTTTTGTTAGTGTAAATCCATATTTCTCTGTTCATCCGCATCACTCGTATCGCCGGGTGACCCGGAAATATAGACCTCTCCCCCTCACGCTGGCTTTCTGTTTCCGGTCCTACTGGTTCCTGTCCTTCATAGAATTCCAGGTGTGTTTCCCAGTGCTTACTGGCTGTGTCTCCGTCTTCTTGCATATAGACAAAGTGTTTTATGTTTTTTGTTTGATTTATTGCCCGGTTTAGGTTTGAATTTATTCAATAAACCTCTGCACAGGATGTCAGTCTCCCGTGCGGCTCCCCAATCTGTTGATGAAAAAGTGCGGGAAGTTTGACCTATGTTTCAAAATGGGGCATAATTTTAATTGTTTCGGTGTAAAGAGCTTTAAAACAGTGACGTTCTGCTCTAATGTTGTTGACCAGGTTTGAACACATACCCTTGTTAAAATTTATATTAATAATAATACTTGTTAATACAATTTGAGTATTAACCGCAGTAGTAGATGTTGTAATACTAGCGGCAGTTGCATTATAATTAACATTCTCAGTAGTACTAATATTAGCGTTGGCAGCAGTTATGCCCCGTAGTCGTTTTTGCAATGACTTCATGTTTTTTTAATAACCAATTTGCATGTTGAGGTGCTGTGATGAATCACAGTTTGTAAAGTGACTGGGAAAGATTTTGCTTTATGGCTAAGTACATATTTGTTTTTACCTGATTAGAGAAAAAAATTGAATCCCCGAGGTGTACCTGTCATACTGCCTTGTTTCCACTGGGAGGCGGTGTAGTAACTAATGGATGCTGCAGGATGTTTGTGTGGACTATCAGCAGGACGTGCATACCATAAGTGGTGTAGCACAAGTACAAGCATGATCCCTATACAGGGAGTGGCTGCTCTGATGACAGGATTAGCAGCGGTTCAACCTGAAAAATATGTTTGGGGCTGACGGGCTGTTGAAAAAGGTGTGGATCCCACAGGAAATCCTTGAGTGTAATGAAGTGTAATGCAATAATTTAAACCAAACCATCATTTTCATCAGAAGGGTAGACTAAGTAAAGAGTTTGTCTCACGGCCCACCCAAGACTAAAATTACTTTTGGTGCAAAAATAGGATTCTGAGGCTTTGGGGTTTTATCAATCCAATAAGGTTGTTTTGTTAATTTTTTCTTTCTCAGTACAGCCCCTTTGTCGTCAGGCTGGAAGGCTCGGCACCGTGATGAGGACTCCTGCTCGCGTTGCATGCAAGTAGACACGAGGGTACATTTTAGTGCATGTTTTGTAGTTCTTCCTGTATTGTTGCACCTCAGGCATGTTGGTATTTTAAATAATTCCTGTTAATAATTCTTGTGTTTTTTCCCCCTCAGGTTTCTCTATAGATTCAAACTTGATTCATTTATATTATTTCAATAAAAAAAAAGTTTTATTTACAGCACTGTCTCTGCCTCCACAGTATAATTACAACATATTGCTTTATTTTGGTTTTCATATCCTGATTTGCAAGTCCCCAGGTGGCGTTGTCGGTCCCTAAGTTAGGTTTCCTTCCTTCCCCTTATTAAAACTTAAAAAAACTTCTTCGCCACACGCAACAATTGCTTTTTTTCAAATTATTAATTATTTTATTTTTCAGCTTTCACAAAGCATCCTTTAACAATGAAATCATTTTGAATAAACCAGGAGGGCATTACTTGTAATGGCAGTGTTAGGTAAAGAAAAAGTGGTATTTGTGTACAGAGACATCAGTATTTCACACAAGAAGGCAAGTTGCTGTGGTAGAGTTTGTGTCTAAAATGTGATGGTTTGAAGGGCTGTCCATACAACAGATTGAAAAACGAAACGTGTGAGAATAATGCTATTTGCAGACATACTAACTCAACGGTCCACAAACAAGGGATCAAATATTGGAGCCATCATGTACATGTGCAGTAATTCACCTAGGAAATATTTTCAGATTAACCAAATAAATTGATTGAAGTTTTAGGAACGACAACCACTACATCACTGCATCTTTCAAAAAGGTGAAAAACACAGAGCTCAAATCAGATCGGCTACATTCATAGGCATCTCCTCCACTGTTGTGTTGTAAAACGTTTCAATATCTCGAAGAATCCTCTTGTCCTCCTCTGTGACAAAGTTGATAGCAACTCCCTTTCTGCCGAATCGGCCACCGCGACCAATTCTAGGAGAGAACGACATTTGGACATTGTTAAACTCACAGCTGAAGTCACAGAAAAATGCCCTGTGCTCTGTGGGACTCAGACCGTACCTATGAATGTAGTTCTCTCGGTTTGTAGGAAGGTCATAGTTAATGACCAGGGAAACCTGCTGGACATCAATCCCACGAGCCTAAGAAAGAAAATAAGGTAATTTAACTTTATGCTAGCCTTTCACATTAAAATGTCATTTTAATTCTTTCTTTTTCTTAATCCCTCTTCGCAGTGCGGTGCCTGGTACTCACCAGAAGATCAGTTGTGATCAACACTCTACTGGAGCCAGATCTAAACTCCCTCATTATGACGTTGCGTTCTTTCTGGTCCATATCTCCATGCTGCACATTGGGAAAAAAAATCTAAACTGAAAACAACAGTAAGTATATTTATGAAATATTATTGGACGGTAAAACAAGTGTTACCAGAGCAGAGACGGTGAAGTCTCTTGCATGCATCTTCTCTGTCAACCAGTCGACTTTTCTCCTCGTGTTCAGGAAGATCACCGCTTGGGTAATGGTGAGTGTCTCGTACAGATCACACAAGGTGTCCAGCTTCCACTCCTGCACATGTTAATGAAAATTTTTAAAAAAAAGTTACATTTCTTCTTTAGTTTTAGGGATCTTAAGAAGAGAGGGTAACTAAAACAGCAGAATTCAAATATTTTGGCCATTGATTCTACTGAATAATCAGACTGACCTCTCGTTCCACATTGATGTAGAACTGCTTGATGCCCTCCAGGGTCAGTTCTTCTTGTTTAACCAGGATGCGAACTGGCTCCCGCATGAACATCTTGGTCACCTCCAGCACATCGTCTGGCATGGTGGCAGAAAGAAGAACCACCTGAAGAGCAGAAGGGTATTATCCATTTTAAAATCAATCTCAACCACACAAACGTCACGAGGCGTGGTTGTCGAAGAGGACATGGATGGAAGAAAACTTACTTGAATGTCTGTGCTGAGTTTCTGAAAGATCTCGTAGATCTGGTCTTTGAATCCTCGGCTCAACATCTCATCGGCTTCATCCAACACGAACAACTTAATCCACTTTGGGACTGTGGAAGAAATGTTTGTAAACTTAAAACTTCCTTTCAAATGTTTTACTGGTTCATTATAACCGTATTGTGGTACCTACGTAGATGTCCCCGTTTGAGCATGTCATATACACGTCCCGGTGTGCCAACAACTATGTGAGGAGCCTCAGCTTGGAACTTTTGGATCTCACTGTGTAGATTTATCCCTCCAATGCAGGCGTGGCAGCTCGCACCCATGAAGTCTCCGAAAGCCAGGATCACCTTCTGGATCTAGAAAGAACGTGAAGCTTGTCAAGGCAGGTGATGACCAGTGTATGTGTGGACTGGGACGTCACAGGATGAGCGTACCTGCTGAGCCAGCTCTCTGGTTGGAGCCAAGATCAGAGCCTGGGTCTTTTTCTGCTCTATCTCCAGCTGCTGAAGGATAGTGATGGCAAACGTGGCTGTCTTGCCAGTGCCCGACTGGGCCTGAGCAATGACGTCATGGCCTTATGGTAAGAGTAGAAATGAAAAGTTTGCCTTTAAAAGTAGATTACATTTTTTCCTCACACAAATTACAAAAGTCATTTTTTTATACCTTGGATGCAAGGAATGATCGCCCTCTGTTGAATTGCAGAAGGTTTTTCAAACCCATACGCATATATTCCCCTGAGAAGAGTCTCTTTCAGGTGCATGTAATCGAAATCCTCCGTAATCTCGTTGAAATTGCTCTTATGAAGGGAACAAAAAATAGCAATTACTTTAAAAATTCTTCTTTAAAAAAAAAACATCAAAATGCACATCATCGTCTACTCCCATGTCACCTTTTCCTTTTCCTTCTTTAAATCCATCTTTTCCCTTTTTTCAGTCATTTACAACAGACGTTTTTACTGCCGTGTCGGAGAGCCAGTGGAATCTATGATACTGTCTATTCAATCCTTTTCTTCTAGAAACTTCAGCTTGTGCTGTTGCAATCCTGGATAAAGCTGTAAGTAAATTCTTTTGTATTTCTATGTTACGTGATCTTCTTTTTGTGGTTGCTCTTGTATAAAATGTGGCTGTTAATGGCTGAGAGATGGCTCCAAATCATGAAAGGGATGAATGACATCTAAGTCATCAACGCACAACCTTTACTAACTTTGGGTCAGTTGTTGCTTTGATGAGCTTTCAACAGCAGTTGGTGTCAGTTAAAACTGGGTTTCATTGTGGTTTAGGTTTAGGTATATAGATATAAGATATAAAAGAACTTCTAGGTGTAAATGTTTCTCTGTAGAGGAAAAAAAGAGCCAGTAGGTGGCAGCAATGCAACTTATAAGATGCAAAGCTTCCTCTATAGCAACAGAAAAGCAGTAGGCGTTAGTATTGTTAGCTTGCCATAATGAGTATATCTGAAAATAGAACTTTTATCCCTTTGAATGTGATATCATTTACATTGAAGATGCAGGTTTAGCGTTCTTGTTCGATATTTTTCGTTTTGAAACATGCTGTAATATTAAACATTTTTGCACACCGTGGTTAATGAATGAACTCCCAACGACAGGAGAGCTATTTTTAACCGGACACCTGAGATTGAATGTGGAGGACTGGGACGTGTCAGTGCTGTGGTGTCATTCATTCTTTCATTTTCCAGTTTATAATCACAGTCCTTATAACTTAGTCGCATTACACGTTTTTTAAAATGTATTTATTTTTTATAATGACCCACAGAATTTCATTCATATAAAACAATTATGGTAACACTTTTAAAGTATGGCATTTCAAATGAGCACCACCCGCAGGGCTACAGGGGGCGCTATTTGCTTAATGTTTAACTACAATATACTCATCAGAATAATACTTCATTGTTGTCATAAATTGAGTTTTTGGTCATTCCTATTTTTGGACCCATAGACACAACTGATATGCTGAGGAGAGAGGATGCAAAGGTCACAGGGCTGAGGCAGGCTCACTGTAGCAGGGATGGACTGCTGCCTGTGGGTAGGCGAAAGGTAGCAACGCCAAAGTGTGGAAGTGTCCAAAATAAGGTAATTAATGTGATGTATTGATTTATTGACTGCTGTATGCCTTTGTTGTCTCTGTAAAAATCATGCAGGAGATTTCAGATGCAGATAAAGTCTGACCTAATTCTCAAAGAATGGAGGTTGTTTGGTTAAATCTTCACAAAGATTTTGTTGACTTGATCTTTTGTCAGCCATTTGGTAGGCAGTTCTGTAAATCTTACCTGGCTAATTTTGTTTTTATCCTTTGGTCAGCAGCCTAAATGTAGGCTTCCCCAAATGTCCGTGTAGGTTCTTAGTCATCCAGGTCATTTAATCCAAAAATAGTTACATTGAAGGTAACAGGATGACATAATTTTAATTGGGACTCTGTCAGAACGGAAGCCTTTTGGATGTACAAAAAAAAAAACTGCCAAAAATATTTATACAGCAATTTATGTTTATTAAGACATACAATTAGGGAGGAGGAAATTTGCAAAAGTAGTCAAGGGGGATACCAATATACTCTGTTAAGGATAAAACCACATCAGCAACATAAAGCCAACTGGTGAGGAAATCTAATCGAGCATGAGGGATAAAAATAAAACAATTTAAATTAACACATTCACAAAAGATAACAAAATAAAGCAAGTGAATCTACATTTTAACATGACAAGTGCCTCTGTTAAAGTAGGCCCACAATACATTGCACATATGTTAGCATAACATAATTTGCAGACTTTATACAGCACTTATACCGTTTTGTCCACAAGTAAGTTACTAAATGTTGTAGTACATCAAATACACGCAACCTTAACGACCAAGGAAAAATAGACCTGAAAACAACTATAACATTTTCAGACCCCATCGCTTTGTAGCTCCAACCAGCCATAAGGTTAGAATCTACAACTGTCCAAGAGGCACCACCATTTAGGTCACCTCGCTTTAACATACACCGAAAAATTTGATCCAAGTTTTAGCATTGAGAAGTTTTTTTCCCCCTCGAATATAAGCACAATGCCAGTGGACGACCGCTATCACTGCATTTAAAAAAAGAATAAGTGACAAGTTGAATTCTGCAGCTCAAATCAGATCGGCTACATTCATAGGCATCTCCTCCACTGTTGTGTTGTAAAACGTTTCAATATCTCGAAGAATCCTCTTGTCCTCCTCTGTGACAAAGTTGATAGCAACTCCCTTTCTGCCGAATCGGCCACCGCGACCAATTCTAGGAGAGAACGACATTTGGACATTGTTAAACTCACAGCTGAAGTCACAGAAAAATGCCCTGTGCTCTGTGGGACTCAGACCGTACCTATGAATGTAGTTCTCTCGGTTTGTAGGAAGGTCATAGTTAATGACCAGGGAAACCTGCTGGACATCAATCCCACGAGCCTAAGAAGATAGAAAAATAAAACAATTAAATCACGTGTGGGTTCCCTTTGGGGAAATTAAGGCTCTAGCAGTAGTACAGCAGCAAAAACAACAGGAATGACGCAATTAAAGTAGAACACGATAAAGATAGAAAGAATTTCTGACAATTCAAGAACACTGTCACTGTGTAGTGATGTTGCCCACGTATAAGTAACAGATCCCTATTAAAGAATCCATTGTGGAGCATGAGCCTTGATCTCCCAAAAGACTTGATTGCAAAGCCATGTTGGGCTTTTGCAGTGTCTAAAGACTTTTGGTTTGTAACTTATTGGAATTCCATAAGAACTTTGAATTTAAACTGTGTACCACAACAGTACCCCTTCGTACTCACCAGAAGATCAGTTGTGATCAACACTCTACTTGAGCCAGATCTAAACTCCCTCATAATGACATCACGCTCCTTTTGATCCATATCACCGTGCTATGTTGAGAAAAATAAAACAAAAGTCAGGAAAATCCAACAGGACAAAGAATATTTAGAAAATCCATCAGGATTGCAGCTGAAGAAAAATATAGTTACCAGAGCAGAGACGGTGAAGTCTCTTGCATGCATCTTCTCTGTCAACCAGTCGACTTTTCTCCTCGTGTTCAGGAAGATCACCGCTTGGGTAATGGTGAGTGTCTCGTACAGATCACACAAGGTGTCCAGCTTCCACTCCTGCACAAAGCAATGGAAAAAAAGTTCTTTACTATGCTGGAGCCACTGATACGTGGCAGTTCAAAATCTTGAGCATCTAAATAGAAGCACTATTTCACCATCACTGTTTCACAGGATCTTGAGACAAAGGACATCGGACATTAAGAAAGAGGTCCCCCCAGCCTCTTTTCAACCCTCTGCTTTTTCCTCTTCTTCTCTGGTGTGCCCATGCTTACACATCCACATGAACTAAACTCTAAGGTTCGGTTCCAGCAGTTTTAGCAGGGCGCTTTATAGAGAAGTTTGTTTATTCAAACTTTTTTAATTTTAATACACCTAGACTACCAAGACATTAATATATCTTAATTTCCCAAAGGGAACTACTGAGGGATTAATAAAGTTCTATCCATCAACCAACCTCTCGTTCTACATTAATGTAGAACTGCTTGATACCCTCTAGGGTAAGCTCTTCTTTCTTCACCAAGATTCGAATAGGCTCCCGCATGAACTTCTTGGTCACCTCCAGCACATCTTGAGGCATTGTGGCAGAAAGAAGAACCACCTGAAAACACATCAAATCTTGTTTAATCTAGCATTCTCTTTACATTTTATTACCTTAAAAAAGTATTCTTATATTGGCTGAAGTGTAGCACTGGACCTTGAGAAAAAGGCCAATGAACATTTAGAAAGAGGTTCCACCTCATCTCATTTTCAGTACAGTGCTTCAATGATCTCCTTCCGCATAATACTCTGCTAGCATTATTGTGTGAAACAGATTGCTCTGAATCACACAATTATAGCAGAGTTCTGTTAATGCAGAAGTTCGGTAAACTGATGAACCACAAAGCAAAACTTACTTGAATGTTTGTGCTGAGTTTTTGAAAAATCTCATAGATCTGGTCTTTGAATCCTCGGCTCAACATCTCATCGGCTTCATCCAACACAAACATCTTGATATACTTTGGGACTGTGGAAAGAACAATGTTTAGCTTTCCAAATCAACAGCCCAGCTAATTTTGATCTAGAATGATGATACCTACACAGATGACCCCTGTTAATCATATCATATACACGTCCTGGTGTACCGACAACTATGTGGGGAGCCTCAGCCTGAAACTTAGCGATTTCATTTCGCATGTTGGTCCCACCAATGCAGGCATGACATGATGCCTGCATGTAGTCACCCAGAGCCAGAATCACTTTTTGGATCTGTTGAGATGACAGAAGCACAAATCGGAAATACATTTGGGAAAAGTTCCAACACAACATTTCATTTTACATGTAGAATAGCTGTGCAAGTGATCAGTAGGTTTAAGGTTAGTCTCCATTGTTAGAGTCAGTCCCGAAAGATGGTATACCATCATATCACTTTGTTTTCCACAGCAACAAAAGGCACACATGTAGACCAATGCAGCCATGGATAGAGGCTACACTAATCTGAAGATGGCACTTTCTTTCATATTGAAGTTTATTCAAATAAAATAAGGGTACCTTAGCACTTGAAACAGTGTCCTCAGTATGCTGTCTAGGTCTGAGGCACTGAAGAGTCATCGGGACCTAAGGAACAGCATACCTGCTGAGCCAGCTCTCTGGTGGGAGCCAAGACCAAAGCTTGGGTCTCCTTCTGCTCTATCTCCAGCTGCTGAAGGATAGAGATGGCAAACGTGGCTGTCTTGCCAGTGCCAGACTGGGCTTGGGCAATGACATCATGGCCTGACGAGGAGAATGTGTTTTTGTAAAATACAATACAATGTGAAATAAAAGATTTGAACTCAAATGTTTTAACAATGTCTCCTTGGTGCCTAAAAGTGACCAAGTCTGAGTGATCAGCAAGAAAAAAAATTATCACCATGATTTGGTAAGTCCCGAAAGATGGTTAAACATCACTTCACTCAGATTTTTCCTGTCATCTCAAAACGAAAACAAATTACCTTGGATACAAGGAATGATCGCCCTCTGTTGAATAGCAGAGGGTTTTTCAAAACCATACGCATATATTCCCCTGAGAAGAGTCTCTTTCAGGTTCATGTCATCGAAATTATCCGTAATCTCGTTCCAATTGCTCTGAAGAACAAAAGGGAAAAGTAAGAGAACAGCTCATTTCCAAACTCAATATAGAACATCAGATATCTGGTGGTTAAAAAAAAAAAACTGATTACAAAACTGTATGATTATAAATGGGTCGTTCACTGTAAGGTAAGTAGGTGATTTTTAATTTACTTAAACAATTTGTTATGCTAATTGTTTTGGCCCTTTTCCTGTAAAAAACGGATGCCTGAAGAGACTATTGCAACTCTAAGCGGAGGATTATTAAAAAAAAAACAAAAACTAACAACATAGTTTTAAGTATTTAATTGCTTCAGGTATTTATACACCTCTAATTGGTCAGTTCTAAGTATTTAATTATTCCAGGTATTTATACACCTCTAATTGGTCAAAGTCCATCACATGAACTCACTAATGCCAATCAACATCCTTTATTGGAGATGTTATATATAGGCAGTCTCTGTGCCAGTGTCCCGTTTGCACATTTCCCCCTCAGCATATGAACTCACCTCGATGACACCATCAGGCTCCATTCCTTCTGGCCCCCCATGGTCTCTATCTCTTGAGCTGTGAAAAAAGGTCATTTTTATTTATTTATTTTTAATTCTCAGATGGGTGTGGGTACATGTATAGTACATTATATTGGAGACACGAGGGGCTTCATTTTAAGTTCTTTTGGAGACATGCCTCCGATTCCACTTAAAATTTAAGTAAAACTAAAAAACTACGTCAGCCGAGTTGACGACCGGCCCACGATAGTTCTGGTTACGCCCAAAGTGTCTCCTTACAGTACGAGCTCCTCTCAGCGCACGTGTCAAGTTCCACGAGAAGGACTTCGCTACCTGCCCAGCTCAGAAAATGCCGGTTATGTAATGCTGTTGGTCTAGACTGAAACGCATACCAGTTGTGGGTCATATTAATTGCAGTATTCATAAAGGTCTGAAGTCTCTCCTGAAGCCAGTCGGCAGCTCTCAACATGGAGCACTGCTTATTTGCCAATTAGCCAATATGTCGGACAGCAGGGCCTCAACTGTGCCAACTGACTGAGACGAAGGCCCAACTTAGGCCCGTTAAAACGGTTACTACCGTTGCAGCACACGCCCACTTGGGCAAAGAGAAACATAATCGCTTTAAGTAAGAGACGTACTGTGAATACACGGCATATGAATCATACCTCAATCTAATAGCTGCAAGAAACGCCGTCGTTTCATACAGCTAGCGTCACAATGCTACCTGCTAGCTTTTGCATCGTTAAGACATCGTTTAGGTCTACCACAGGCTTTATGATTCCAAGCTAGACAGCGGACAAAACACGTGTGTGAACCGATTAATTGGACATACACGCGAGTATTAAGATACATCTGTTACTTCATGAAAGTATACCTGTTGTAATCAGCAGAATCGCTAGACATGATCCGTCCCCAACTTCGGCATGCGACTGGAAAGATCGCTGATGGCGATGCCAACTGCCTTTATGCGGTCGGACTATTTTCATTGAGGAACACGGCGCTCGTTTCAACAGACAGTTCTTTCTCAGTTCAATTCACTTATAGTTACATTTGTATTTTATTTATTTCTATATCTAATATACTCGATGATAAGCTACAAAAACCTAAAAATGTGCAGGACTATATTTTCAGCGGAGGGATATTGCAGCAAAAAGGAGTGCTTAAGCTACTACGGCATCCCTAACGGGTCATGATTAATTCCCACAAGGTTGTGCAATAATAAAAAGAGTTCAAATAAGGCCAATAAGAAATGCCAAATGAAAACGAGATGAAATGGTTGAAACACCATGTTGTAATTGCTTAATTTTGTGTTAAAATTAGCGATGAATAGTTTTTGGAATTCATGGGGGATGTTAAAATGTTAATTTGGCAAAAAAAAAAAGGCAGGGATCTATGCTTCCATGTCTTAAAACCTAAAAGAGGATACTATTTATTAGCTCCCTCACATGTAATAACGCTTGTATGTGGTGCAGTTTTTGGTTGCCTTAATGTAGTCACAGTTGAAAAACGCTTTTAGAAAACTAACGTGACAAACCTGTTTCACAAATGACATTCTCCATGTGTCATCAGAATTCTTTCAGAGACATGTTGTGAGAAAAAAACCTGGGTAGGGCTTCTGCTTTGTTAACTAAAACAATGTCTCGATTGAAACTCAACTTAAATTGTTTTCATAATTTGGTAAAAAAAAAGAAAAGAAAAAGAAATACACCAAAACACTTTTTTTTATTTTGGTTTTGTTTAGCATACAACCAATATGGTCATTTAATGCACAATAGTGTAGTAGTTTGAGAAGAGTTCCTCCCCTGCTGTAATGTCTCGGAGGGAAACTAGGACAACACAGCGCAGAGGTCTCTGTGTGTCGTGACTGTAGTTGATATTTGGAAAAAAACGGTAGAGTTGGTATGGAAACTTTTCTGGCACGTCATATTCCTGGTAGCAAACATTAGCAGGCCAATCGTTAGAGCAGTTGTTCACATATTGCCCTACGGCCAGTGGGTTTTGAGGAGTGGCTGTCAACCAGCTGGTGTCACTCATCATGAAGGGCCCAACTCTGTCTCTGCCGCTGCATGACGTGAAGACCATTTTGGAGATGCCTTTGTCATTTCCATCGACCAAAACTCCATCAATGCACCTAAACACAAAGGGGTTTCTGATTGACTGGAGAAGAATGGGCTCGTAGGCCTGATAGATTGTACCAGGGTACATGGCAACTGTGACTCCTTTGGGCACGTATCCTTTAGTGACAAAAACTCCTCTTCCTGCCGACGGTAAAGTGCTGGACTGCCGGTCAATGCAGAATCCGAAAGACTGAAACATGGCATCATGTCCACAGAGTGGGTGTCCTCCATTATGGTCTTGTTTGCTGGTGACCTCTTCAAGCAGGAGTCTAAAGAGTCTCACCAAACTCTTTGAAACCTCCTCATCCGGAACCAGTTTGTCTTTCGAGCGCTCCGTCACCTGCCGCAACGTTTTCTCATTTTTAGAAATGTTCAGTGCCACCCAAGGTACAAATCTGTGTCTGTACGACTTCCAGACACTCTGAAGTCGCTCTAATGTGTTCTTTAACATTCAGATTTAGGTCTTGACAGGTCTGATGCGGAAGAATAATCTCCATCCAGCGCGTACAAAGAGCGATTTCCGGTAGTCGTTTTCCGAAATAAAAAAGTAATGCGCAATGCGCTTTGGATTTTATTTAAATAACACATGAATTATAATTGTGTGATACTATAAATGACAAATTTGTGTGATGTAAGTAGTCAAAAGATGGAGCGTGAACAGAAAAAACTCGAAAATAGCGATCTTGTGCTCTTGTATTGAAGAACAACTTCTGAACCGGAAACAAAAGTTAGTAAGACTAGCAGGTAAAAACTTGACATGCATTAGCAGCTAGCTGGATGGGAGGAGAGGGAGTCAGGCGGAGACAAACATGGTGAGAAATTATTTATCTAATTATTAAACAAGGCATTAATATCAGTAACGTAAAGCCATATGAGTTGTCACATGAAAAAGTAATATCATTGTCAAAAGTACTGTATATACTGTGTACACTTGCTTTTTTGAAAACATGTATAGTTCTTTTCGTTGTCATTAGCCAACCAGTAGCTTCGTCTGCTAACATCTAGCCAGAGAAAAAGAAAGAAAACACTTACGGAACAAACGTTATATATATAATGCAATATTAAAAGTAACATTTTGTGTTGTTTTGTGTGTCACAATTTCACTGGTCATAGACTTTAAAAACGCCCACCAACAGATGCAATTTGTTTTCAACCAGGCTACGTGTATTATTAAGAATTTAAACACTTGCCTTTAATTAGTCTCATAGCCCTTTTTAAAGAGCTTCCTAATGCTTTAGAACAGAGCTGTCCTTTTATTGAAGAACTGGACACAATGACAGTAACGTTCATATTAAACATTCAACACAATAACTACATTAAAAAAATCAGCTTACCTTGAATGAGGAGTAATATAGAACTTACTCTCCTGAGGCAGTATTTTTGAAGTATTTTTTAAATATTCTGTATCTCACACTTTATTTAAGTCTTGTGGCTTATTTGGAGATTCCTGTATCAGGCTTTTCAGCTAAGAGTTGAGGTATCTTTGGAAATATCTTGAGGTAGTAGTAGGAAGTTTAGAAAAACACTGGGAACTGACTGACAAAAACAACCCTTAACATGTACTTAATGTTTAAATTGTGAGTGGATTGATTTAGGTTGTCAAATGTATTCAACAGATTTCTAGAATATGAAAACATTTAGTTGCAGCATGTTAATATACTCAAGTAATATTCAAATAAATGTTTAGAGCTAGAAAATGATGTGATTTGAGTTTTGTTTTAGAAATCCAACAGCAACAGGAACCCGAAATAGGTTGTAAAATACACAACAACAACAAGTAAACAACAAGTAAATATCCCACTGACACAGATGTGCACATGCTTACTGTAGAGAAATGGTGATTTGTAATTTTTGGTACATTTGTTCTTGATGTGTGTGTATTATGCATGTGTCTCTGCAGAACAAGCTGAAGTCCTCACAGAAGGATAAAGTTCGCCAGTTTATTATTTTCACCCAATCCAATGAGAAGACTGCACTGACTTGTCTGTCACAGAATGACTGGAAACTAGACATTGCCACAGACAAGTTTTTCCAAAATCCAGAGCTCTATGTTTCAAATCTAAAGGGAGCCTTAGACAAGAAGAAGCTCGAGCAACTGTACAACAGATATAGAGGTATCTACAGCAACCCCGTGTATAGGAGAACACACAATGGCTTTAATTGAAACCTCTGTACAGTTGACCATGCCTAACTTAACTATATATTCTGTGTACAGATCCCCACGATGACAACAAGATTGGCATTGATGGGATTCAGCTGTTCTGTGATGACCTCGGTTTGGATCCAGCCAGTATTAGCGTTCTGCTTATAGCCTGGAAGTTCAGGGCAGCTACACAATGTGTGTTTTCAAAGCAGGAGTTCATAGATGGCATGGCTGAGCAGGGGTAAGAATATCACATTTGTAATCATCATTCAAAGCTGGTAATGTGATTTTTTTTTTTTCTAAACCTCTGCAGCAGTTGTTTTGATTCTTTCATTTTCAGTTCACAGTTGACCAATTATGCTGGTTAATTGACTTGATATATGCTAGCTTTTTGTTACATACTTGAAGCCAGATTATTCATAAAAAATATGGTCTGACAAAAAATTATAAAAATATCTGGTTTTGTAGAAGTCAACACTTGTTTGTTGCTTCATTTCTACCATAATCAGCAATAAAAAAATATGGTCTGACAAAAAGTTATAAAAATATCTGGTTTTGTAGAAGTCTTGTAATAACATGGTCTTATATTTTGTACCCTCTCTAAAAAAACAGTAATGAGTCATATATTAAGTCAGGTCCATAATATTGTCATGCACATTGGATTTAGATCAATGCATCAGTTCCTAAATTTGGAGACATATGGTCTTGGCGTTGACACCAACAACACTACCGTCATAAGGATGTTAAGGCATAGGTTAATAAGGGCGAACTAAATTTCTAAAATATCTTCTAATATATATATCATCTATGTTTTCTGTCTTCCAGGTGTGACAGTGTAGAAAAGTTAAAAGCTCAGCTACCGAAAATGGAGCAGGAACTTAAGGACCAGGGGAAATTTAAGGACTTTTACCAGTTTACATTTAATTTTGCAAAGAATCCTGGCCAAAAAGGTTTAGGTAAGTGTCCCTTGGTTCATAGTGTAGTATTTATACATGTATATTGTGGTTCCATAGTGTAGCAGTTAACACATCTGAAGGTTCTGGGTTCAAGCCCCAGAGGAACCACATACTTGGTGCCTCCACGGGGCAGCCTGTTGCAGTAGATCTGCTGTTAATGCAACGTTTTTAACTCTTTTATTTTTTTGAAAGAGTATAACTTAACATTACTTTGTATTCACACCGTTACAATTTTTTTCCTTTCAGATTTAGAAATGGCAATTGCCTATTGGAATTTAGTTCTGGCTGGAAGATTTAAGTTCCTGGAGTTGTGGAATACATTTTTAGTTGTAAGTCAAGCATCATTCGAGAGCCTTCCCTAAAGGGTGATTGCTTTTTTTTCCCCCTCAACTTTATGTTGTTTCGTTCCAGGAGCATCACAAAAGATCAATTCCTAAAGACACATGGAACCTCTTATTAGACTTCAGCACAATGATCACAGACGACATGTCAAATTATGATGAGGAAGGTTTGTACTTGTGCTTTTGATTTTGACTGTGAGACGCCGTCTCTCCCGTGACGGTTGTTTTCATTGTACAGTTCAGCAGCATTAAGCTCTTTATTCAGGTTCCTCTCTGCATCTGTTCTCCAGGAGCGTGGCCTGTCCTCATCGATGATTTTGTCGAGTTTGCACGACCTCACATCGGCACTAAAAGTACGGCAGTTTAAGAGCCCTCTCCTCTGAATGAAGAGGTTTCTACAAAATATGGAGTGCGGTGCAGAGAGAGGACAGGAGGTCCAAACTAAGCTGAGAACTATGTTGCCTTTTCAACCCTCAGGACTGAAATATTTTACACAGCAGAGACTTTATATATGTGAGCATGTACATATATAAGAAGGCATAACTATGTTGTTCAACTTGTGCTGGTTCAGACCTTTTATCTAAAGTATTAGAGAGTGTTTTTTTTTTATTATTATTTTGTTGGTTTTTTTTTGTGCGCTCATGCCAACTACAGAGGACTCGTCACATTTGCCCACGTGTGGGGGCTTTAAACAGGACGATTTTGGAAATAAAACACAGTGGTTTTGTAGGGGGAACGTGATCTTTAAATAATGAATTTTAACTTGTCTATTTTTTGATTTATTTTTTTTCCTTTTATTTTGTGTGACAAGTCGATACAAAACATTGATTGTAATTTTTTAAGGATAATGCTGTTTGAACACAAATGTACAACATTAAAATAAATGCTTGAATTTGGGATCTTTATAAAGTTATCAGATCCACTCCAACGCAAGATTTTAAATCTGGAATTTTTTAGAAAGTCAATTTTTTTGGAGAATAAAAAAATTAATTTGACTACATTTCACATTTAGTCATTTTTGCTCATGGTTTGTATGAGATATGTATTTTTGTTTTTTTTATAGAAACAGATTTCTAAATAATTCCCCCCTTGAGGACAGTACATTCTGCAGCTTTTACAAAATACATGCCTCAGATATACAAAATCTTAAACCCTTAAACCCTGAATATTCTCGTAGACAAACATACAATTATTATAATAATGAGTCGAAAGGGAAATTATTATGTAGTTTATTGGGGAAAAAGGAATTTTGGACAGCTTTTAAGACAACATAGTTGCCGTTCACAGAAGTTGTGGTAGAAATGTGCACTTTTTCTTCTTCTTTTTTTTTAGTATATTTCAAATTAAACGGACGAATGGCTCGCGGAAGGTAATAAAAGTTTCTCTTTAATTATTTTAATTTTGTTCACAGTAGCGCGAGTTCTTGTGCACGGTTTATTGGTGCCCTCTTGTGGACAAAGTTTCAAATAGCACGAGTGCTGTTGCTCAGGGCGACACAGTCCGTCAACAAATTCACAGCGACCCTGCAGAACGTCGACCGGGAAAATATTGTCTCTCTGTTTCTAAAACTAGGACATCATGTCGAACATCTCCAGCACCGCACCGGCAGAGATGGACTGGGACGAGCGCTTCGCTCTGCCCAAAACCAACGCTGAAAACACGGCACTGATAGAAGAGGTGAGTGTTGAACACAACACATCCCTAACGTAAAGATGGTTCAATTCATATAGGACCCTAACAGTCGTATGACATGATTTTTCGCGCCGTTCAACTGTGTCCATTTGATGTTACGCATTAAATTTTATATAAATGAAGACAATAAAAACGTGTGTGTATGTATGTATATATATATATATATTTATTTATATATATTACATACACTAGGGTTTATTATGTTAAATGTTTTCTAAGGCATTTCGTGAACTGCATTGGTTTCTTGAAGATATTTCTTCAGAACTTGCACCCAATATCAGAATTTTCCTGCAGTTTTTTTAAATAAATAGTGTTAACCCCTACGTTGAGGACCAGATATGTTGAAGAGACAAGGTTAAAGGTCATAATATAATAGCTGGATAGATTTTTCACAGTATCAAAAATACAGACTATTTACCTGAGAAGATGTCGGACGAGAAATGCTGGCTTTCCTGAACTGTGCTGAGCTGTGCACATCAGGGAAGATGGAAACTTAAAACATTGATGTTGACAGGAAATCAACAGGAGTTTGACATTATGAGATGTATATTATGTGCAATGAAATAATGCAGCTTCCTTTGCAACAGATCCGTTTGAAAGAGGCCCGGCTGGTGTCGCTTGATCACAAGCTCCGAAACAACGAGGAACAACAGGAGTTGATGAGCGAATTTCTCAAAAATGGGAAAAAGGAGCTGGAGAACACTGAGGTCGGTTTGTCAGAATATGCACGTTTCTGATGGCTATAACCTTGGTAACCTTGGATTCTTCTTCACACAGGCTCTGTGCAGAGCCAAGGAGAGAGAAGAAGAGTCGGAGAAACACCTTGCTGCCCTGACAGAGAGGGAGAAAGGTCGCCTAGCGCAGGAGACGGGCAAAATGGAGAACGAGCTTCGATCCTTGGCAGAGAGGAGAAACATGTTAGAGGTGTTTAGCCTTTACCCCGTACTGACTGGGAAGTGGTAGCTGATCATTTTTGAAACATTCTTTTTTTTTTTCTTCTCCCTCCTAATCACAGAATCACATCTTCAAGAACAAGCAGAAGCTAGAGGACTTCAAGGAGCAGATGGACTGGGACCAGGAGACCATGGATGCCTTTCTGGAGGAGTCCTTGCGCAAAGATGAGGACACGATGGCTATTATCAAGTACGCTGAGCAAGACGAGCAGAAGATCAAGGTGAGGAGGAAGAGATTAACAGATGAACCGCAGCAGTACGACTAGCACCTGTTGTAGTTGCGTTATATATGTATGTATATATATACATACACAGTATACATATGTAAATAAACAGTTCTGCTCTTCAGCCCCTCTCCTGTGTTGCAGTCACTCTCTCTGGCTATAGAGAAGAAGACACTTGAGGCCCATGAGAAACGCAAAGCACTGGACAAGGAGTTGACTGAGACCATGTCTGCACAGGTATCAAATGTTATCAGAATTTAGGAAATGTCACATTATAATTTTCAAAAAATATTCCTAATTAAAACATATCAAATATGTTATATATATATATGTAAATATATATAAAAATATAACGCAATGTAACTTGAATTTTTAGAGTTGAAAATTACACATCACACAAAATACATAATAGTGTTAATTATCAGACCTGTTAATATATAGCTGTTAATATGAGCCAGTGTCTTAACCGACATCTTTGAACAGCTTGCTCTGGATAAGACCACAGAGAATCTGCAGCAAACCCACCTGGAGACGCAGCAGCTCATTCACCAGTGGGAAAACACCATCAAGCAGATGAAGCAGTGTGATGCTGAGATGCAGCAGTGCGCACTGGTAAAAAAAAACAAAAAACAAAAAAAAAAACTCACTGCAATCCCTGTGCTGTAAATGTCTGCAAAATGTTGCCAATTTTCTCTCTTTTTTTTTTTTTTTCCCCCGTCCAGCAACTGGCTTTGTTCAAAGAGAGCATTAGAGAGAAGAACGGCACCCTCACAGAGAAGAAGCATCTGCTCCAAACTCAGGACAACAACAACAAGGAAACTGAGAGGGAGATGAGCGTCACCCAAAGGCGGGCTGTGAAACTGAGGCAGGATGTGAAGGAGCAGGAGAGCAACTGTGGCCGACTGCAGGACGAGGTCAGCATCGCACGCCGTACGCCACGCGTCAAGGTAACGGGGGTCCTTCGATGCGGTAGTAAGTTTGTCGTGTTTGTGTCGCAGCTGGAGACTTGCAAGGGCACGCTGGACAAGGCGACCTCCGGTGTGGAGTCCGTGACGGCCAACATTTCCAAACTAAAGAAAAAGATCCAGGAAAATAACAAGAAGTGAGTAAAAAAAAAAAACTGCCCGGACTTCCATGAACGTGTGTCACGATCATGCTCCGATTTTTCATCTGTGTGTGTGTGTGTGTCTAGACTGATTGAGGCTCAGGTGTACAACACCGCACTGGAGGAAAAACTTAAAGCGATAACTCAGACCACACTGAGCGAGGAGGAGAGAGCTGCACAGATGGACCAGTTTCTGAATGATGAGGAGCAGGCCATCAGTGTGAGCAGAGAACTGTCCAACACTTCATTTGTCACAATGACACTTGGGAAATAGTCAGGCACATCCCTAGCTTTTTTGGAACCAGGGAGGATAATGACAGGATGGAGGACAACTTGATAATTAGGCTGATGAGCCAGAAAAAAAACACACATTATTTGTGATCCCAATAGTATAGTACAACTGCACACGATTCTCCAGGTTTCTGATTGTGACTCTTTTCTTTTCTCAAGTCTCCTCCTTGAAACACAGCGTCTAAACTTTCCAATATTTTCTTGAAACATTATGACTTTTTGTCTCTTATCTTTAATCCTCATCTTTATCAGTGAAGGTATGAAGTCAAACTGTAAAAACCACAGATCTTACCATGGTTTATTTAGTCTATAAACTCACAAATCATGAATTTTACGCATGCTCTGTGTATGCAAACCGCTTAAATGTGAATTCAAGCTTCTTTTTTTTTTTAACCAGAGTTGGTCTGCGCTCTGTCCTAGGAGCTTGAGATACAGTTGCGCGACTGCACGGAGGAGGTCTTTCGCCGTCGAGAACATCTGCAGACCCTGAAGACCACAGAGAAAAACTCCACCGCCCACATTTTAAGGGGAAAATCCACCATCACCAACCTGAAGAGCCAGATCAGAAAGGTGGAGAAGGAGCTGTTACGACAGCAGATGACCATTAATGAGCAGGTGAGGAAAAAAAAACATGCTTTTAAGACATGAGTCTTAACAACCTGCACCATGTGGCCTAACCCGTTATATCTCACAGGCACCTTAGATAGTCCATGGTGATCACGAGATGTCTGTAAGGCAGAAGTATAAAGCCGGTGTAAACCGCTGCACTATCCGACCACAAAGTCAATGTTAGCAGAGGATGATTTGAATCCATCGACCCCTGGGTTATTTGGCCCTGCATGCTTCCACTGGCTTCCACTGTGCCACTGTGCCACTCTTAGTCTAATACCGCACTCACACTTTTAACTTCACCATATTTCTGCTTTCACTCACACCTGCACAACAGGACACTAAAATCATCTGCCTGAGAAGAAAGCTGGCCCGACTGCAGGGTGACGTGAAGGTAGATGAAAAGAAAGTCCTTGATTTGAAGATCACCGAAATGAGCAAAGCTCTGGAAGAGAAGAAGACGTGGGCCCATATGCTGAGCAGCTGGCTGAAGGAGTCTGAGGTCAGTGTCACGGTTCGACACAATCGACCACTGACAGGTGGACTTCCTTAGTTTCATTCTTCTCCCATCCTCTCTTTTTAAAGGATGACGTCAGATTACTGAAAAAAGATTTGGAGAAGTCTGAATCTCAAAAGAGAGACATGGCTGGAAAAGTGGAAGAGCTCATGCAGCTGGGGAATACAAACGACAAGGAGCTGAAGAAACTCCGGATGAAGAAACAGGTGAGTGACACGTCACCAGCTCAGCACTCAAGTGCATTCAGTTCCTCGCTAACAGAAGGTGTTTTGGTGCGCTCTGTGCTCCGCGTTCTACCTCAGGACAACATGGTGGAGCACAACATGGTGAAGCTGGAGGTCAGACGCGTCAGAGATCTGCTGTACAACAAGGCGGACACGGTGCTGTCTTTGGAAAAGAGGAAGCTGGAGCTGCAGAAAGTGATGAAGGAGAGAGGGGAGGAGATCCAGATGTACAGACAGATGCTCAGTCACAGGCTGAAGATTACTGACCAGGAGAGGCAGAGGCTCAGGTCAGGAAAGAGGAAAAAAACTAAACTAAACTGCATGCTTTAGACTGTGTGTCAAACTCAAGGCCCGGGGGCCAAATTAGGCCCAACAAGTGGCAATGAGTTGCTGATGAAAGCATCAAGTCATTTTATGACTGACAAGTGGCAATGAGTTGCTGATGAAAGCAACATCTGTTTTTGTTCATACACTCACTGATTCACTCTGTGGCTTTTATTCCCTTCATAGCACTGATTCACTCTGTGGCTTTTATTCCAGTGCTGAACTGAATGAGAAGCTGGCCAAGATCAACATGGCGAAGAAGCGTTTTGAAATTGTAACATTTTCCGTAGCAGCTCCCGAGGGGGACGAGGAGAGGTCGCAGGCTTACTATATCGCAAAGGTTAGCGGGGTTTTTGGAAACACTGGTCCTTCACCTGCCGTGATGACCTCGGTGTGATCGGCGTTTGTTATGCTGCTGTCACCAGGCTGCTCAGGAAAAAGCTGAGACCAAGCAAAGAGGAGATATCCTCGAGGCTAAAATACGCAAGATGGAGCTGGAAAACAAAGCCCTGGAGAACACCATCCTGCTGTTCAACAACAGCAACTCAACATTCCGCAGCTCTCTCAACAAAGTTGACAAATCAAGTATGTACTTCATACAGTAGCAAAAAGCTGATGTGGGCCACAGAGTAAGAGGATGTTTCTGGTGTTTAGGTCCAGAGTACCAGGAAAAGCTGAGGTTAGAGGAGCAGCTGAGAGCAGCTGAAGAGACGCTCAAATACAAACGAAAACAGATCCAGGAGCTACGACGAGACGTACAGGTGAGCCGTGTACACCATCTCTGTAGAACGTAGACGTACCCAGAGGAACGTTAGACAGGCTGGTTGTCTGGATCTAGCTTTGGAAGTAGAGGGAGTTTTCCAGATTTTTTTTAGAATGTTTTGAATTTAATTGGATGTGGCCTACATTGATGTGTTTCTTTAAAACGTCTATGTCATAAAGGCCGTTTGGGGAACACACAACAGACATCTGATCCAAAAGGAATTATCCGTCACTCGAGCATAAGAAACTGAGGCTATAAATAGGGTCAGGGTTGGTCCTCCCCCTCTACTTTGAACCACCTCTTAAAGGTGAAGGTGTATCCCACGTCCATCCACTCAATTCACGGAATCATCCTTTAAATATGACTGTCGTAAATGTATTTAAACCGACAGTTACCGTGTGTGTGTAAACTTCTGTACGTTCTTGTTGTTTCCAGGACATGGACAGTACTTCACAGAGTCTGCTGCAGGAGGAGCAGGTGGAGAAGGAAAAGAGAGACCAAAAACAATCATTAATCAGTCGAATGAACAGAGAGATCACTGCCCAACTGGAGAAAACGAACAGAGCCACCAAACAGGTCGGTCTTTGCTATCACGTTCAAAGGTTCATCCTCCTCACGTCAGCAGTGCTGTAATGCTTGGTTCACATCCCACAACATGAGATCCTTCAAGGGCCTAGTGTTTACTGAACAGTAGGGGTCGCCTATCTTCAGATTTTTAGCGTAAACTCTCATTTAAATTTAGTCATTAAAAAATATTAGGAGGGAATGCTTCATAATAACTGGTTATCTCCAGTATATAAAATACGAGGAATTTTGAAAACTTCAAATTTGGAATGGCAGCAAAAAAAAAACCCCAAACAATTACATGATTGGACAGTTTAATGATTAGGTTAGAGAGGCAAAGCTGAGACGAGTTTGAAGAATTGTTTTGAAACTTCAGACAGTCCTGAAGAGAGATTATAGAAATATTAGACAAAATATATATTAGATATATACAGTATATATAAAAAAGAAAAGCGTGTGTTCATACAAGTACATTTGTCCCGAACACAGTTCTACTCTGTGTTGCAGTTCTCGAAGCTGACCAGAGAGATCCGATCAGCCAGACACACCAAGCGCGAGACGTTCGAAGAAAAAGATATAAAACTGAGAGAATTCAGAGAATTGAAAAGGAGCACCTGTAAGATGCTGAACGAGGCCGTGGAGGACAAGCCTGATCTGAGATCAGTCCTGGAGACATACTTCATGCAGGTTTGAGACCAGTGAAACGGCACTTCTGTTCCAAAAAAAAAACAAACAAACTAATGTAATTTAAAGGTGAAATTAGATATACTTTATTTCATTTTCTGTTTCTTGTTTACTGATGTGTGATAGATGCTGTTTTTGCCTTTTCATTTGTGGAATGACTATAGCTGCATTATTATCTACACACATTACAACTTGTGGTAACATTAACAACCAAATTGTTCTTTTTAATTTCCTTTCAGGCCAACCTGACTTTTCCATCCCCTTCCTCCACTCCGGGCAGCTCCAAGATGAACTCTGCCCGTAGCTCTCTCAGGTAAGACCTCCGCTGCACTTCTTCAAAGAAATAACACATCGCCCCCTTGTTGTCAGATGGACAATCCATACATGAGGAACACACAGACATTTATGGTTCCCCCTTGTCTGTGTTCGTCAGGTCTCCTGCATCCTCAGCCAGCAGCAGCAGCAGCAGCAGCCCCAGAGCTTCTTCTCTCCGTTCTCCCATACTGAATACTGTAGAACTGGGTTTAGATGTGGCAGTGACTTCTCCTCCAAACAGCTGCAGAAGTTCCCGCTCTGCAGACAGCGGCAACAGCAGGAGAAAATTTTAGAAATCAGAAACTGAACACCAGAATGGACACAAGGTTTTACTAAAACATAGATGATGAAATTTTAAGTATTTTCACGTTGCATCAACCCAGTAACTATTCCTATTGATGCTTAATGTTTTTCTCATCTTAACCTTTTCAAACTTGGCAAAGTTCTTCTTCGAAAACCACCAAAAACCTCCAAATCCTGAGTCATGGCAATCTTGTTGTGTCACTGGAAGGCCCGGTAATGAGTGCATTACTACCCTCTGTTGGATTATCTGTGCACTGCATGTATCTGATTGTATACATCTGGTTTTTTTTCAGGGGAAAAAACGTCACACTGCTCATGTGGAGGGCTGTAAAAATATGATACGTTTTTGCGTTATAGCCTTTATTTTTCTTTACAATAATGTGCACTCCTGTGCTGTGCCCAGCTTTCCTACACGGTCCGTCTCCTCTCTCCTTGGTTAATTCCACTCACCTGTGGTGGAATTCAAACCATTTGATGAATTGAATTAAACATAGTCATCTTGATTGTGTAGGAGGAATTGTCTCCTCCTTTACATTCATGACAATGCTGCAGCACTGTGGATGTTTCTTTGTTTTTTTTTTCAGGCATGGCATAAATATATCATACCAATACCAAAAATACCAATGGCATGGCATCAAGTCTGTCATTTTTTTTTCTCTCTCTCTCAGGAACCTGCTGAAACCCTTAAAAAGACTTCACCGTCAGGGGAAAGGTACAGGAGTCCATGTCAGGTCAGCCAGAATACTGCAAAGCTTCTTCCCACAGGCAGCAAGAATTGGAAATGGACCCGTGCCCATCCCTCCCCTCTCACCTCCCCCACTACACACACACTAAATGTAGTGTTAATTGTGTCTGGGATTTGTTGCACATTTTTGGATTTTAGTACTTTTGCACTACACCATTATTACAACACATATCTGCATTTGTCATTGTGACTTTTTTTTATTTTACCCAATTGAATTTTTATGTCTGGTGCAACATCAAAATTTCAACAGAAAAACCACCTCATACTCGCAGTGTTGACAACTAGGATTGACTCCAGTGCCTCCCGCGACTTAGCACAGTGCTAAACCAGGGGTCAGCGACCTTTTGGAAGCTGAGCGCTACTTCAAGGACACTTAGTAAAACGGAGAGCAGACACTCTTCTTAGCATCGTCATTGAACCCATTTGAAAATCATTGCAAGTGGAACAGTACCAGGTTTATTTTTGGAACATACCCTACTGTCACCTTAGGTAGTCCATGTGGGGCCCCACGTTGTTGACCCCTGTGTGCGATAATGGATGGATAAATTACACGGAACCCAACTTCCTGTTCTTAGTTGCGTGACAGTAATTCTCTAAAGCTGTCCCAAACCCTAACCCAGACCTCAGATGTAAAAATACCTGGCCTCTGTTCCTTTATGGAAGTGCGACGAGGCCTCAGGCGAACATAGCGTTGACGGCCCAGAACAGGGGCAGGTATTTGAGGGTTCAGCTGAGAATGTTATTGTGTTGACTAGGACCGTTTTAAGCACAGCGACATTGTCACGAGAACTCAGATTACCGACGCAGGTATGTCAGGCATCCTGTCCACTCTGACTAAGTATTTAAACAAAAAGTTAGCCAGCTGATGTCCCTCAGGGAGCAGACCATGGCGCGGACACTGACGCTGACTAACCCTAACCCGGACCGACGGCAGGATTATCACGACGAGCCAGCAACAAGAGGTAGGACCTGACAGAATGCACGTTACATCATAATGTCTGCAACACAAACTAAGACGGGGGTAACTGATATGACACATCTTGACCCTTTGACCCTGTCTCTTTTTGCAAACTCTTTGTAGGTTTCCTTACACTCTTATGTCATAATTTCTGGTCCTTTTGTCCCTTTCCCCCCTCTTTGAAAACTCCTTCCACTTGTTTGACTTTTTGTAGGTTTTTTTTTTGGCTGCTTCTTACACTGGCAGGGAATGCCTCATTTGTGGTTTTCGCAGTAAATTACTTATGACTCTTCAAATTCAGCTTCAACCTGCGTTTTTTTCAGAAAATTAATGGATGTAATTTTTCACCCCGACACACTCTTATGAATCCTAAATGCATTAATTTATTCAGCCGCACGCTGTTTTTTTTTTTATTCGGCAAGATGGTGACTAGTATGAAAGAGGCTTAATACATTTTCAAATGAATGCACAAATATGCAGGCATGCAGTTTATTCAGCTAATCCTGCACCTTTTTAATCTTTTGTAATAACGTACCCACGTGTGTGGTGCCGTGCAGTGGAGCATGGAGACTTTTCTTAAGTCATCTGACAGAGAGGCAATTATTCCCGGTAGGACGGGACTGAAAATACATCCTGAGACACATTCATCATCAACGTACTTAGGTAATAGCAACAGGATGAAATACCAGTGCTCTAACAGCTCAAGGTAGTCTCTACAAAAAAAAAATAAAAATCAAATCAAATCAAACACATAGCATGAAGGAAAAAAAATCTAGCCAGATTTAATCAAACAAAATAAAACAAAATAGTAAGCACTGAGAGACAAAATATTTCAAATGTACACAAATATTAGGTAAGAAAGAAAAAACTTTGAGTTGATCAGAACATGACTGCTGCCTGCTGTAGGTCCTCATCGTTGGTAACATGAGCTGCTGTGGCAGATAGCTGTTAAATGCTGAAGCAATTTACAGATTAGAGACAGCAGCTTACCGCTTGTTGCTTACCAAAGCTAGCATTACAGGATGGTAGCCATAAAATGCTACAAAAAAATCTGTCATTCTGCAGATAGCCTTTTAAAAATTAAAATGCTTTTTTAAAAAATATTTTTAATTTTTCTTTTTCTTCATTGAGGCATCTGTAGAACATGACGAATATCCACAGAATGTTTTTAGGCTCTTTCATTAAATCAATTTGCTTCTGTCCGCCGAGGCTCGCCTGGAATGTGCCACAAAATCTGAGCGAGACCGCATGCTGCATATATCACTGCAGACAGACTCAAAGTTAACAGGTAGTAAGTCACCTGCTGCCGTCGGGGCTGACCTCCTGAAAGCGTGACGCTCAGCGCACCGCCGTATTTACAACTTTAGCAATCCTTTGAACTCTATTTTGCTCGCGTCTGAGTCTGTGAACCGCAACCCACGTGTTGAAGTGGAGTTTCTGAAAGTGTGCCTCCATGTTTAGCTGAAATCAATACAGTCATGTGTGGAACTTGAAGCACTTGGGGCCCAAACGTCAGCATGTTTTAACTCAGGAGAAAAGTTGGAAAGTTTTCCGAGCGAGGGCCTAAAGTCACGTAAGTGTGTCTCTCTCTGTGTTGTACTGTACGTGGGCTCTGCATACAGGTTTTTAGGGAAAGCCATGAAAGCAGCAAAACTGCTGGGGATGTAATATGACATCCTTTTGTCATATTACATGTCTTTTTCAATCTTTTTTTTTAGAAAAAATAGCAATGTTGATAAAGGAAAACAACAATTTTGGACTAGAACGTGCTTTTTTTCCATTTAGGGATTGCAATAATAAGCGTTTCTATTTCTAAATGACAAAAAGTAAAGGTGAAAATTTGCTGTTTGTCCAGAAATAGCTAAAATAGTCCGAAGAAATGAAACCAAAAGGCCTGAAGGTTCGAACCACTATATGTGGCCTCTAACTGAGACATTTAAATTTGAGTAAGAGCTGAGAAACAAAAAGTAGGGATGCCCGATATTAGCATAATTATGTAATAATGTAAGAATCGTTATCAGTTTTCCCTCGTAATGAAAACCCGATAAGGCAATGTCTGGGTTTCACCAAATGATGTGTGCCTTAAAAATAATATTGGGGATAAACGGCTGTATATTAAACTGAAAGTCACTAGATGGCAGCATTGCAGCTCATTTAATTAATCCCATACTCATACAGTGGTTTGTACAGATAAATAAATAAATATTACCAGACCTATATCAGAATTGGAAATGAAGTGTTCGGACAACATCGACACATCGGACATCCCTACCAAGATGAGCTGTGTCAATTTCTTATCAGCACAGGCTTGATTTGCTCACTGCAGTGACATCATGGCTCTGACAGCGGCAGAAAAAGCCCACACGGTTTATAACACCAGCATGTAAACACGTTTGTTTAAGATGTGATTGTGAATAAATGCCTGGCAATTCCAGGAGTGGGTTTGTATCGACCCTCCCCCTGACGCTGGCTCCTGGCAGACCCAAAAGCAATAACTCATATTGTCTCGGCTTCACATTGATTTGCATCTGAATCGAGGCTAATGCCGTTTGTGGAACTGAAGGCTGTGTGTGAGTAATACTGTGGTTTTTTTTTTATTTTTGTGTGTGTTGCAAATGGCATGTCCTGTAGAGATGTCAAGAGGAGGCACCGAGGCGAGGTTTTGTTTTCGTGTTGGGAGAGGGACCAATTACTTTGTGTTGACAGCTGAAAAGTTCAGGAAATAGTGGCTAGGGTTTTTTTTTTTTGTTGTTTTTTTTTTCACAGTATAAGCATTGAAATCTTCCATCTACGGCTATCTGTCATCTTGTTGTTACCCCTTTTGTTCACTTTCTTTGTGTTTAAAATGAGATGTTTACCTGGGGAAGGCCCTCATATCAGGAGCGCCTCCTGTTGTAGCCCACTGTTGTGGTTCTATATTTTCCGCTGAGCAGCTCGGGTTGGTTGAGACGCGCTTAACTCTATACAACTGCAAATATAAAGAATCGACTTTGACAGTGAACATGCACCAAAGGTACGGTATGATCTCTTGTTGTGAGTTAGATCCCGACAGTAAAAGTTAATTTCAATGTGACAATCCCTGTGTTGCATGACAGCTAAATATAAAACTGCCTCTTGATCCTCCACAGGTCTTTTCAACAGTCCTTCTGTTCAGCTTCAGTGAGCACAGTTGGTCGTCGATCACACGGAAGGATGTTCTTCGTGGCAGGTGCCAAAAACGCAGGCGGGTCAGCCAGAGGGAATGAACGGGGGTAACAAGTTTATACCATTTCAGGATGAATGATTCCGTCATGTGATTTGCATAGCCTTTCCATTTTTCTATCAGCTCTGCAGTGCATAGTGATCTTTTCAGTTTGTTTGTTGTTTTGTTTTTTTTACAGCAATAGGTCAATCTACCAGAAGTTCCGTGAGGTCGATTTATTGGACAAGAAGAAGACAGTAACAGCTCTAAAGCCCGGTGAGGATCGAGCCATTCTCCTCGGTCTTGGGATGATCCTGGCGTCTGTCATGATGTACTTTGTGCTGGGGATAACTATATTACGCTCCTACGCAGACAGGTACGTCTGCATTCCATTTTTAAGACATTACAGTGCAGTTACTTTTTCTAACATGTTTTATTCATCAGCTGTGCTTGTTGACAAACTGCTGCAGGGCCCTCTCAGGCTGAAAATTGCTATAAATAAATGCTTTATGAGGCCACGTTTCCAGGCACAAATTGCAGCTCAAACAGAGTTGATTTCAGTCTATGAGCCCGGCCAAAAGTTGTGTTGTTGTTGTTGTTGTTGTTGTTGTTTTTTATTTAATACGGACTTCTATTATATTACCACGCAGTGTTTGGACAGAGGAGAGTGTTTGTGTCGTGCACAACGCCACGGTCACAGCAGACATGAACTGTACATACAACTGTGGCTCAGACTGCTGGAGAATCTCCAAATACCCTTGTCTGCAGGTCTATGTGAGCGTCAACAACACGGGCCGCCTCTGTCGGCTATCTCACAACGAGGAGACGCAGGACGCCAGCTCTGAAGTGAGTTACGCGCTGCCGGGAAAATACAAGGATTTACTGAACCGTTCAAATGTTGGCCGAAGCCGTCCCATGTTTGCCTGGTTAATGTTGGACCAGTTGGACCAGGTCTCTCTGGGCAGAAATTGTTTGTAGATAGGGTCAGTATAACTTCCATTTTTAGACCGTTTAGTTTAATGATTTAAAACTGTTAGAAAATCTTACATAGACGTTTATTTAAATTATAAATATTAAATACAAAATAGTATTTATATATATTAGATATATATATATATAGATAGATTAATGAGGAGATTAGATATATATATAGATTGATTAATGAGGGATTAATAAGAAATTGTGTTTGTAAGGCATTTGGACACGTGTATGTAAAAAATAACATTACTGTTTTCCTCTCAGTGTTTTTACGTGCCCAGGTGCCAGAAGGACAGCACGGTAATGCACACTATGATCATGAACATCTCGGAGCATCTAAAAGTAAACCAGCAGATCCAGTGTTATTATGACCCCAGCCAGCAGCACGAGGCTGTTCTCCTGACCCGGCTATATGACCAACGCGTGGTCCTCCACTCGTTGCTCTGGCCTTCCTGCATGATCACGGGAGGGGCCCTCATCATCGTGATGGTGAAGCTCACGCAGTACCTCTCCAGGCTGTGTGAAGAAATAGGGAAGATCAAGAGGTGAACTGCGTTCTCCAGCCTAACCTGTGTTGGTTCGGTGGTGGACAGATGGAATGGACAGGTATTTTTCCAAACTCGACAGCTTTACTGTGATCTCTGCAAAATGTTTTCTGACGTCGCTACAGCTGGAACAATTGGCTGGCCAGCTACCGACGACAGACGAAGAGGATGTGACTGTTTACAAATGTCTTAAATGTTGTTCTGGGACACGTGAACAGATGTATTGGTTCTTGTAGGGGTTTAAGGTTTTATAAAATGAACTGATAGTGTGTTAACAAGAGTTTGTATTTAACCTGTTATCTTTTGTACAGTGCATTGAAGAAAAGAACTTGTTGATATTGATATGATGTTATCAGTGTGTATATTTGACAGGGCAAACCCAGCTCTAAGGAATAGCCAACAGTGCTCAAATAGCTTGAAATAAATGCAGGAAAGGTAGCCATGTAGATATTCTAACACAATTAAAAATGTTTGGCCTTAAAATAAATTTTTTTAAACATAAATACATTGCCAAATATAGCTATATACACAGATCTAATCCAAAAGAAAATAACTCATATTTAGACAAGCTAAGGTTTAGCTCGGGAATGGGTAAAGTTTGGTCAGATTTTCCAGGAAAAGAATTAAATGATTTTTATTTGCATAAGAAATTTGTAAAATAAATAAATAAATAAATAAAGTAAAGGTCATGCTAAAAAAGCAATAGCTAAATGTAATACAACAATTACCACAACACTGTCTTCAATTTGCAAATGAATGTCAGATACTTAGGCCAGCTAAAATAAAAGGTAGATGTAAATGTGAAGATTGCCAAAAGTGCAAATCAGCCTTAAATAATACTGCACAAATTGCCCTGCAAAATGTTGATGCTGATAGTTAGAAAAAGTACATTTGTATTAGTGAAATTACTATTGTATGATTGAAGAAGGTTTGTGGTACTTTTTGAAATGTTTTGGTGATTTATTATTTCTGATGGGATATGACCAAAAACTGTGCAATTAAACAGAGTTTGTCTTTTTTTAAAAAAAACTTTAAATCCAAGTAAAAAAGGTAAACTTTTATCCTATAGGATTATCCACTGAGGCCTCCACACATGATTGTTAGTAAGATGAAAACAACTGCTCTGCTACAGTCTAATGTCTGTGTTCTCATACTAAGACAATAACTTGTCGGTTATGTGTTACCTTAATGTAATATCTATAGCTGGAATCTCAAGAAAAACATGTTTATGAAGTTGTTTATTAGTATTCAGTAGTTTTACACACGTCTCCTACACTAATTCCTTGCGCAATTATCTGTTCCGGAAAATCAACCAATCTGGCAACCCATCACCAGCGTCAGTGATGAGCCTGTTAGCATTCGTAGAACAGGCTAACTGCATGCAGCTAACGCGCTAATACCGAACACTGGAGTCTACTTTTTGGAGACACGATGAAGAACATTACAAAGTATTATTTACTTATTTCACCAGACTTTATTAACAGCATTTGTGGGAGCTAGGGGCTTGTTTTATTCATAGAAGCAACGCCGTTTATATACCACTCAGAGCAACTATGACCGCTGGGTGGTGAGACTTCCAGAACGGGCACGGATGGCACTTCCAAAGCTAGCCGATGCTAACGAAAGCTAACCGGGTAGCGCTAGCTGTCCGACACAGGTAGCTATATTTGTTTTTTTCGTTTCTGTTTTTGTTCTTTGTTTTTTTGCTGTTAACAGTAAGCATCACTTCGTTTTTAGAAATCAAGTCTTGGATTCATATTTGTTTTTAAGCTTGTAATGTTACACTAATTGGACCATGTAAGCGAGTCGCGTTTTTAATTGTAAAATGACATTGATCTGTCCAATGATCATGGTTAGCATCGCGAGCTAGCTGGCTACCGCCAAAACAACAGCAAATCGCATTAGCATCGTTAGCAGTGAAACTTGCCCAAATGACAGGCCAGAAGCTAAGCTGTAGCCACACCAAAGTCAGCGTGGGTGTAAGTTGTTAGCCAACGAGTTTGTTGACATATTTCTCAAATTAATTTCACTTTACAGTAGTTACCACCTGTTTGCTTAAGGTCACACTGAATATGTGTTGTTTTCCTCTAACAGTTTATGTGCCTCTATTGTCTTACATTTGGAAAAAACAAAACATATTTTCTTGTGTATTCTTCTAAATTTGTTACATCTGTCAAAGTGGCCGATTAAACCACCAGGGCAAGGCGATATAGTAACTGTGCATCTTGCAGCACGTCAACAATTTAGTAAAATGCCGTTTTAATCATAATAAAATGACAAGTTTTATACATATATTGCATGAGTGTTTTGGACAAAGGACACTGTATTAAGCAGCTGCTAGTCAATGTCAGTGGTAAACAGTCACTCAGCTGATCATTGATATTCAAGTAAATATTATCAATGGACTTAGTAAGATTTCCCTGGGTATCTGTATATATATATATATATATATTTGGTAATCATAAGCTTGCTATTTATGTATGGTTTCCTGGTGATTGAAAGTTTGTGAGGTTTTTTTTAAGATAAGTAAACAGCATTATGAATTGATATATGTATATGAAATATTTCATGCCATTTTTAACTTCTATGCAAGTTACTGAGTAGAAATCTTAAATAAAATAAAATAAATAAATAAGAATAAAAAACAAGACTATAGACTTGTGCACTAACACAATAGGTAGCTGGATTGGTTGATACACAGGTTACCTTGTCCAGATGTAAAGTGCATAATTCAAAAAGATTTTGCGCAGAAGGTTTTTGCGCACAAGGTATTGAGTAATCAGACCATACAAAATAAAAAAAAAAAGTTCCTTTGGCTGCTGGTTATTCCATTAGATAGATATTTGAGATCTTTGCTATTATTGTTGAACACAAGTCAGTAGCTTTTAACCCATTTGTTTCCTTCTCTCTCACAGTGAGTTTACATAGCTCATCTGGTAATTACCAGCCTGCGAACGAAGAACATTTGCTGGCACAATCATGCCTCCCAGGCCCTCCTCGGGAGAACTATGGGGGATGCACTTGATGCCCCCCAGCATCCTAGTGGACTGCCTCCTGCCAAATGGCATGATTCTCACATTGGAGTGCCTCCGGGAAGCTACGCTGATCACTGTCAAGCATGAGCTTTTCAAAGAGGCCAGGAAATACCCTTTGCACAATCTGCTGCAAGAGGAGAGCTCCTACATCTTTGTCAGTGTCACTCAAGAGGCAGAGCGGGAAGAGTTCTATGATGAGACCCGGAGACTGTGTGATCTTAGGCTCTTTCAAGCGTTCCTCAAAGTTATTGAGCCAGTGGGCAACAGAGAAGAGAAAATCCTCAACCGTGAAATTGGTATGATTTGAGATACAGTAACTTATGCAATTACAAAATTAACACCTAGTGTAACGATGGGCTTGCCGTTACCCCCAGATGCATGCCGATTTCATATACAGTATCTTAGGCAATTACAAAATTAACACCTAGTTAATTAAGATAAAAAAAATATGTAACCCCAAGATGCAAGGCCCGTCGTTACACCTAGTTAATTAAGATAAAAAAATATGTAACCCCAAGATGCAAGTCATTTACACAGGATCCTTTTGTACCAACTGAAATTCAGTGTCTCCTTTACAAAAGCAGCACATACAAATAATAATAAATAAATAATAATGTAGAATGTAAAAAAAATGTAGACTTTTACAATGAACTCTATAGTCACAGAGAATAAAAAAAAGAGTTAGAGATCTTTCTGTGCACGTTGTGCACTCTGTAATACCAATTCATATTTTAAGGCCACATACTCATCACAGAAACATTTGTAAGGGTTGTTGTGTTCTTTATGTGACCTCAGTTGCAGATTGTGGAAGCCTGGAGTGTATGTTGTGCTTCCCTTTCAAAATTGCAGCTTTCATTTGGAGGCAGTTGAATCTTAGAGAAGCTTTATAAATAAGAGTTTCAGAAAATGTGCAGTCTTATCGTCTTAAAGGTGTGTTAGTTTAGCGTGACAAGGTCTGAGGACATAACGTTGGTGTTTAGTGATCTTATCCTCTCCTGATGATTGCTTATTTTTGGTCAAAGGCACAGTATGTTCTCATTTCACGTGCCACGGAAATCTCAGGACTCACAGTTAATTTTCATTGTCTTTGCAGGTTTTGCCATCGGAATGCCCATTTGTGAGTTTGACGTGGTGAAAGATTCCGAAGTGCAGGACTTCAGAAGGAACATTTTAAACGTTTGCAAAGAAGCTGTTGACCTCAGAGACAGTAACGGGTCACACAGTCGAGCTTTGTACGTCTACCCTCCTAATGTTGAGTCTTCGGTTGAACTTCCCAAACACATCTACAACAAACTCGATAAAGGTAAGATGTCGTGCCAGTCAGTGGGAGAAATATTCCAACATCAGCTGCAGTACCGTTTTGTGAATCTGAGAATGTGATATTTGCTCTTTTCCAGGTCAGATCATTGTTGTCATATGGGTTATTATATCACCCAGCAATGACAAACAGAAATACACCCTGAAGATCAACCACGACTACGTGCCGGAGCAGGTGATAGCGGAAGCCATCCGTAAGAAGACGCGGAGTATGCTGCTCTCCCAGGAGCAGCTGAAGATGTGTGTGCAGGAGTATCAGGGGAAATACATCCTCAAAGTTTGTGGCTGTGACGAGTACTTACTGGAGAAATACCCTCTGAGTCAGTACAAGGTAATCATAGGAGGATAGGTAGATCCACTTCACATCAAATTATCATTCATTACAAACTGACCTGACTGTAACAAGAAGCTATTACTAGATTAGTAAAGTTCAGTACATTGTTAGTCAGCTCTGACGATCAAGAGAGCGTGAACGTCTCCAAAGTGTCACTTTGTCTTCACAGTACGTGCGTAGTTGCATAATGCTGGGACGGATGCCCAACCTGATGCTGATGTCAAAGGAAAGCCTGTACTCTCAGCTGCCGATGGACAACTTCACCATGCCGTCATATGCACGACGAATATCCACGGCAACGCCGTACATGAATGGAGAAACGGCCACCAAACCGCTGTGGACCATAAACGGAACGCTGAGGATCAAGATTCTATGTGCCACATACGTAAATGTCAACATCAGAGACATTGACAAGGTGAAAAAAAATGGCTGTTGCTGTATTCAATCACAAACGCTGTTAATATTAAAAACAACCCTCATGGCTGTTGTTGTATTCAATCACAAACGCTGTTAATATAAAATGCCCGAATTGTTACCATAATTATGCATAAATCAATTTGTTTTCCATTTCCGACCGACCTAGATCTACGTCAGGACAGGTATATACCACGGTGGAGAGCAGTTGTGTGATAACGTCAACACCCAGAGAGTTCCCTGTTCGAATCCCCGGTAGGACCCAGTGAAGTTTGTAGCTGTACTCTCTAGTTTTCCCCCCCTGTGTTGTGCACCAATAACTGGTATGGATTATGGTCATCGTTGTCTCTGTGTTTGTTCACAGGTGGAACGAGTGGCTCAACTACGACATGTACATTCCAGACATCCCCCGCGCTGCACGACTCTGCCTCTCCATCTGCTCCGTGAAGGGCAGGAAGGGAGCAAAAGAGGTGAGCAATCACTGTACATGGAAATATATATATATATATTTGAGAAAATATATATTTAATATCTTTTTGTCATATCTGTATAGATGATATGATAGTTTTCCTTACAATCTGTATTGTAACAAAAGATAAATCCACATATTCCAAATTACCAAAGTTTTCAATGGTAAATATACAGTATATATTTAATTGAAATACACTTAAATAAAATCAAATTTTGCTTAAATCATGTGATTTTCCCCATACAAAAACATCAATTATATTATTATATATTTTGGGAGTAAAAAAGTTAACGGTAAACAAACTAAAGATGTTTTATTTTAACAAATAAAAGAAGAAAAACTAAACAGAGCTCCTGTCTCTGCCGTGAATCACACCGACACTTAACTTCCTCTGCCTCTGACTTCCGCTCGTCTCGCACTAACTCCACACATCCCACCTTTATGACGCTATTGGAAGTGACAGACGACTCTGAGTTTGAACTGGTTTCCAGGATTCCTGACAGAAAAATCCAATTGCCGCTCTTCTGACGCCATAAACCCGAAATCACTGACAAATAACCATGATGCAAGACTGAGGTTTCCTTTTCTTTTGTAAATTGCCGGCGTCTTG